ATACAGTTGTAAGAGTTCACCAGACATTTTTATTATTGTCCTTGCATCGTTGAGACTTCTTGGTTTGGCAGGACTGATCAAGGGTTCTGCACTATATAAGGATCCTGTACTTCTCACTCAAATGAAATAGAACAGATATGTTGTTTCTGCAACACACTGTCCCTTTCTCCAGTCTGGTTTTATTGAACTAATTTGGAATATAAGCTCCAGGTTTTCTTACAGTATGTTTTAAAAATATTTAAATATCTTATTCTAGAACTTGAATTCTAGCCCATAGCCAAATCACCATCATATAGTTGTGTCTACCTATACAGATTTGAGTATCCCTTATCCAAAATGTTTGGGGCCAGAAGTATTTGGGTTTTTTTCAGATTTTGGAGTATTTGCAGAATACATACTAGTTGAGCATTCCAAATCTGACATGGTGCTCACAGAGTTTTGAATTTTGGAGCATTTTGGATTTTGGATTTTCAGTTTAGGGATGCTCAGTCTGTATAAGTTGTGTTAGGGTCATGGCTTTTCACTTTCTTTAGTTTTTTTCTTTCCTTATCTTGAGATCTGTATTCCAATCCAGTTTTCTTTTGACTAGACTCTACTGTACTTCCTTGAGTAGTTTTTTAAAAAAGATAAATGAATTGTACTTTGAGTCCTTCGCTGTTCAAAGACTTTTTTCCTTCTTCATGTATTAATGATATCTTGACGATGTGAGAAGCTTTCCTTCTTTTTCTTTTGTTCCATGTGGAATTCCTGTTGTCCTTATTTTGCAGCACTTAGATCTGATTTCTGTGTTTCCTATTTTTTACTCAAAGTTCCCATTCTTTTTTTCTCTAGTTTTGGGTTATAGTGATAATTTCTAAATTATAAATTCTGTTTTTGACAGTGTTTATTCTATTTTCACTGTCTTTATTGAATTTATTTCAGAAATCTTAATCTGTTATTATCCAGAAGACTTTAATGTGATCTTGTGCTCGAATATTTTTATTGTTCTCTCCTGTTTCTACATTAAATCAGTATTAATCAAAGCCAGCTGTTAGGATTCTTCTCTTGGTATCCTCCTAAGGAAACTGCTGTTTCCTCTTGAGCTGTGTTTTTTAATATCTGTTCCTTCTGTCTGGACGTGTGTTGACTTCCCAAGCAACACCAGCAGGACTGGGTTTCCTCAGTGTGTTTGTAGGCCTGGCTGCTGGGTCTTGCAGGCAGTGTGGTCTTGCAGTAGGGACTGTTCCCTTGCTCATTGAACCTGTAGCAAATGGGTCAACAGGCTGGGGCTGTCGAGAATGCCAGAGGACTCTTTGGAATTTTTTCATAGAAAGTTTGTTGAATTTCATAGAGCTTTAAATAAGCATTGTTTTCTGATGTCATTATACTGGGGGAGGAGGGAGAGCTTTTATATTGCTTAAAGCCCTTATACAGACATATGTTAGCCCTGACCACACTTGTCACAAGTAAGAATTTTTAGAAATTGTGCAGCTATTTTACAACTCCTTGCCTGCTAGGGAAACCCAAGTATGTGCTAATTTTAAATGCAGGAATATGTGTTGAACATAAAAGGATAAATTTATCTTGTTTTCCTTAGTGCTAATGCAGATTACTAAGCGGAAGTACTCAGCGTGTTCCCCAACTTTATTTTTTAGTTGTTATATGCTAACATTTTATTTGTTTGAGGTCAGGTTATAACAGATTAAATGTCTCTTTTTAAGGAGCAGAGGAAATTTTTTCCTTTTAGGCATTTAATTGTCATTTGAAAGTTTATAGTAAGAAGAAAGCATCATCCTTATTTTTGTCATTAAATGTGTCTCAGTTATGCCAAATGTGTGTGTTACTTTTTTTAAAAAAAGCATCCACTTTAAAACTGTAGACCTTATCAATCTATCACTAAAACAATCACTTGTCAACAGGAACAAATCTGAGAACTAAGAGCCTATTAACAAGGCCGATCATGTCATATGTTCCATTCTTTAGTGTTGGAGAAGAAGAAACACTGGCACTTTTGTAGAAGTATTTTTCTATTAATTTATTCATCAAAGGTGTTCAGCATCTATTATGTGGCAGGTACCAAGCAAAATGTTAGAGTTCCATAGTTAACTGCAGATAAACAAGCTTCTTTATCACGGAACTGATTGTCTAACTGGTAGATAGATAAAATAATGCTCTACAGTAAAGCATGAGAAATACAACCAGGATGTATTTGCAGTGCACAAATGATGTGAGAAAAGGGAGATATTAAATGTGTTGCTTGAGGCAATCACAGAAAACCTCACAGAGGAGGATGGTGTCTGGGCTTCCTCATGTGAGTAAAGAGTTCAGGGAGAGGCCTTGTCAGCAGATCCGAGCCTCTGATAGTAAAGGCACTAATTTGTGCAGACGCACAGAGGCATGTTTGTTATGGGTGAAGGAGAAGGGGATGGTGGAAGGAGATAAGGATCAAGATCTGTGTATAGACCAGATCATTAGGCTAAATAAAAGCTTTAATCCTGTGGGCTGCCAGCGAAGCGTTGCGTTTTAAATGAGAAGGGGTAAGGCAAGCCTTAGAACAAAATCACTTTGGGGTTATTAAGAGGTCAGTGGCTTGAAATGTTGGAATCTGAAAAGCCAGTGGGAATGAAGACAGCTAAGGTGGATTTTAGGGATAGTTAAAAGTGGAACTGATAAAACTTGTCCAGTGTCTGCATGAATGGTTCAAGGAAAGGAGGTGTGGAAGACAGTACGTGGGCATTAGTGAAAGAGGCAGACTGTCTGGTGGAAATGCAGGGCACACAGGAACAGGGACCATCCTGAAGGTGATAGCCTTAAGAACTAGTCCAGTCTTCAGCTAGACTTTGTGGTTCTTTGTGGTTCAGGCATTCAGTCTTCTGAAAGTTCTAGATGTGGGGGTTTACCTGACTTAAGATATGACTACCTGCATTTTGCTGTAAGCAACAGTAGTCTGGTGGGAGAGACACACAGGTTAACAGTAGTAAGTTTATAAATGTCAGTTGTATGTTTTAAAACACTTTTTCTTGGATACAGTATTCTGTTTTGTCTCTGTTTAATCTTTATAAGAAGTGGATGATGGCTCTGTTTTTAAGATAAACACACTAGAGCAGGTGTGGTGGTGTCTGTAGTCCCAGCTACTTGGGAAGCTGAGGTGAGAGGATTGCTTGAGCCCAGGAGTTTGAGACCAGCCTGGCCAACATAGTGAGACCCTGAATTAAAAAAAAAAAAAGAATAAATAGAAGAAGGGGAAAAAAAAATGAAGAAACCAACTCTGGGAGACTGGTCAGTCCTTCCAGAATCACATCGCTAATTAAGTACCTGGAAACCAGGTTTTCTGATGTTTGGACCTTGATTTTTTTTTTTTTTAAGCCACACCATCTCTTTTTTCTGATGTTTGGACCTTGATTTTTTTTTTTTTAAGCCATACCATCTCTATAATGAAAGTCAAAGTGAACTCAGGATTTAGGAAGTTTCTATTGGCATATTGTAGGGGGAGAGAAGCAAGTCATTGGAAAGACCATGAAGTGAGCCTTGAGAAGTAAGGATTTTGAGTTGGAAAAATGAAGAGAGGAATGTTTCCAGGTGAAGAGGCAGCATGGCAGAAGACAGGCTGCTACAGGCACATGTGTTGTAGGGAGGTGTGCGGGGCGGGTCTCCTGGAGTTTGGATTAGGCTGCCCCAAGGGTAGGGCTAGACCAGGGAGGGTCTTCAAGTCCAGGTTATGTTATTTGAGCTGTATTTGGCAGATGGGCAGCATGTGGGGGCCTTCAAAGTGTCAGATGAGGGTATCATTCATGAATACAGCAGCACACAGTTACGGCCAGCTGTGCTAAATGCCAGGCACTGGGGCGGTTGTTGATAGATAGTACAGTGGTAAGGAAGGAAAGGTCCTTGCCCTCAGGAAGTTCTGTCACCAAGTTATGGGAAAATGTGAAATATTCTGATCGCAAGGAGTAGGTGCTCTGGTGGAGAATCACTGGCAGGGGAGGAATGACTTCCATAGAGGAGTTGAGAGGCTTCCGAGGACCAAAGGAGGAGAGGTAGGGGACCTAGGGAGCCAGGCAGCATGGCCAGGCAGAGGGAGAGCACTCCTAGCACTTCATGTACCCTCCCTTACAGGGACAAGGTAAGGAATCTGAAGGGGATAGCGAACAGAATGCACTGCTGGAACTCCCTGGAAGCATCGGAAGCCTCAAGCAACACAACTAAGCAGTGCCGCCCAAGCCGACCTTACAAATTCTCTCTTTCCATCAGCATTGTTCAGAGAACAGATGGGCAAAATTGACTGAGTCCACAGGCTATTATTTTTCATAAATGGCTACTTAGCTATGACTTGATTTTGTTGTCTTTTTTTAAATTGTAATAATTCTCACATGAGATCATTGTGGATAGTACTCTATATAACCTTAAAAATAAAGTGTTCTGGTCATTTTAAGTGTGATGCAAAAATGTTAAAGGTGGGCTTAATTCTTTTCTACTGTGCTTTTTTGATAAAAATTTTGCAGTTTGGTTTGAGTTCTTGTTGTGGTTTTCTGACATTCTTAGAACTTTTTAGGTCTGTGTTCAAATTGTTGAATGAGTCAATATTCTTTTCCCTATAAAATTATAATTTTGGGGTAGGCACGGTGGCTCAGCCTGTAACCCCAGCACTTTGGGAGGCCGAGGCAATAGGATTGCCTGAGCCTGGGGATTCGAGATCAGCCTGGGCAACTTGGTGAGATCTTGTCTCTACAATAAATAACAAAAACTAGCCAGGCATGGTGGCATGTGTCTGTAGTTCCAGCTACTTGGAAGACTGAGGTGGAAGGATTGCCTAAGCCCAGTGGGTTGAGGCTGCAGTGGCCGTGAGTGTGCCACTGCACTCCAGCTTGGGACAAGAGTGAGACTCCAACTAAAAATAATAATAAAATTAAAATTGTGTAGATTGGTCAGCAACTTATAGAGAATAAATAGTTTATAACCACAACCATAGGGCATTGTCCTGTATGCTCTTTTAATCCTTGTTTGTTGGATTTTTGTTATAGTTTTCTGAATTTCCAGATCCCATGTGGGGTTCAGATTATGTGCAGCTGTCAAGGACACCGCCTTCCTCTGAGCAGAAATGCAGTGCCGTGTCATGGGAGGAGCTGAAGGCCATGGACTTACCTTCATTCGAACCTGCCTTCCTAGTCCTCTGCCGAGTCCTTCTGAATGTCATACATGAGTGTCTGAAACTAAGATTGGAGCAGAGACCTGCTGGAGAACCATCTCTCTTGAGTATTAAGCAGGTTTGCTTCAAAGACTATCTATAATATTTAGTAATTATTATATTATTCTGCAGGCCTATAATTTTTATTTTGAGGATTTTTTCCCCCTAATTGTCACAAATAGTAAAAAAATGAGTATATGTTAGTGTTTTTAAGATGCACTTTTTAGGGTAATTTTAAATGTTCTTTACATGCAATCCTCAAAGATAAGATTGTGGTTCAACCTTTCTGCCATCTACTTCCTTTTTCTAGAAGGACTTAATCCTCACATGTATGAACCTGTACATTGTTTATATCAGTCTTTGAAGGTTGAAATTTAAAATTCATTCATAAGAGATAGAGTATAAGTTTCTTAAATTTATTTTCTTGTTCTATTTGAGGTTTGTGTAAGAAGATAGATGTCTTTAGAGTATGCAGAGGGGAGAGGTTTGAACTTTTTGCTTGGTTAAGCAGATGTGGTTTAAACAGTAGTGGCAGCTTCTGTTTTCTGAGTTCATTCTGGATGGGATCTTACGGGGGCTTGATATCCAGGGTCAGCAGAGGAATGGCTGGAAGGGTTGTATCTAGCAGAGTGAGTGCTGGAATGGGTCTGTGTTAGTGTTTTGTGATACTAACATATTGACATTTACTATATAAAGTAAAAAATGTTAACTCTTGTCCAATTAAAAGAAAGGGAAGTATGTTTTTTGCAGATTGTGCACATTCAGCTTGTAGGAATTGAAGGACTGAGAGCTACTTGGCTCTGTGAGTGACAGGACAGAACATAGATGAGCAGTACAGATGGAGGAAAGACAGGTGAATTCAGGTCACACAGTAGGTACAGAATTGGGTTTGTGTCTGTTTGCTGAGTGAAATGTAGATTAGACTGACTAGTGGAGGCCAGTTGGAGAGGACCCTGCCTCTCGTTTCCAGCCCTTCAGTTTGCACCTGGTACCGCCCACAGCTCCATCTGCTTGTGAACTTCCTTGCTTCTCACCATCTTGTTTCTGGGGACTGTCTCGCTGTGCATGCTGACCTTGCTTTTAGCTAGTCTTCTGTATTGCAGTGGTTACTTAGGACATTTTGGTAAAATCCTTTGGAACTCCCTTCCTCACAAAGTAAATTCTTCATAAATATAACCTAGTAAAATAGAGTTTGCTTTTTGCCGATGGGGCTCTTGTGAGGATTAAATAGTAATTTATGTTAAAACACTTTAAAAAATAAGAACAATACTTAGGTGAATGTAGCATTGCTAGAGTTAAAAGAGAATCAAAATTTTGGTTTAGATGCATTCAAAGATCAGTTATAAGCATCTAAATGACATCCTTAATTGATATCTATAGAATCTGTACAAACCACTTTTTAGTAGATGTCATTGTAGCCATCACTCTCTTATCATGGATAATTGTCTTAAAAACATTTATGGGAGAGACTTCTGTTTATAAAAGCAATCCATATTGAAGAGAATTTGAAAAGTACAGGAAGTTATACAAACAAAACTACAAACTACCCTATTATTCATGCCACTCAGAGATAACCACTCTAACATTTTGGTGGATTTTCAACTGTTTGTTTTTCCTACACATGAATACTTCTACACACACAAGTAAGTATATATGTGTGTGTGATTTTTTCCCCCCTCTCTTTAAGTATTTTTCAAAATCAAGTGTGTAAGTGCTGTAATGGCACTGTACTGTGTAGGTACACCTTATTCAGTTAATCCCCATTGTTTGAACTGACATTGTGATAAGTATGTTTGTATCTAAATCTTAGCCTGCATCTCTTATTATTTCTTGAGTGTAAAACACAATAGTAAATAAATGAGTCATAAATTTTAGATTTTAGAAAGTTTGTACCAGTTTACTTTCCTGTTAGCAGCACTGAAGGTTTGACTAATATGTATGAAAATGAATGTGGCTGTGATCTCATACCATAGTCCCTGTTGATTAGAATTTGAGGGCTTGGTGTCCCAGCCTTTCATTAATGAAGGGTTTTCCAGGTTGTCCCATTTCGACCTTCTTTCTACCTTTGTTATGTTACCCTCTGGACCCATACATTGCAGATTTGCCCATCTTTTTAGTTTATTGTTTTTCCTTTATTTTTATCTGATATCATCAGATTAATCTTAGATTTGTTTGCTTGTGTTTGCGATTATCTGAGTTTTTTGATGGTAGATTAGGCCACAAATCACAGTAGATAAGCTATGCTAAATTATTGCAAAGACCACCCTGTTCTTTGGTATGTAAGTATATTTGAATCTTTATTATTTTTTAGTAATATTTATCAGTTTCATTAGGAGATTTTTCTCTCATATCTCTCATCTTATAATGTAAGCTAGTAGAAAAATTGTTCCTATTTTTTAATCTTTCTCTACAAAATTGTTTGTAGGAGAACATATTTTAGCAAAGCAGTAGTTGCCTATATGGTCTTTTCTATGTGTATCCATGCTGTAATATTAAATTCTTTTATTTTCACTATTATGTTTTTACTTGATGGAGACTACTAAGATATTTATATACATAAAGTAAAAAGACGGAGAATCTGGAGACAATGTGAGGTTTTTCAGAAGGATTTGAATGGGATGATGTGAAGGGGCCAGGTTGTCTGGTCAGGCTGTGTAGCGGCCGGGATGTCTATTCTCTTGCAGCTGGTGCGAGAGTGTAAGGAGGTCCTGAAGGGCGGCCTGCTGATGAAACAGTACTACCAGTTCATGCTGCAGGAGGTCCTGGATGACCTGGGAAAGCCCGACTGCAACATCGACGCCTTTGAGGAGGATCTGCATAAAATGCTGATGGTCAGGAGCAGTGGGGAGGAAGGTCTTCTACATGTGTATTGTGCTGTGTGTGTGTGTGTGTGTAGTAGTGCTGGTGTCCTTGAACCTGAGTCTGTCCATCTGCTGTTAGATTGCATTTATCCTAAATCCACATTTTAAAAATTCTCAATAGTTCTAAGTTTTTGACAAATGTTAACCTAGTTTGTGCTTTAATTGTAGGATAGTTCAACTTAGAGCAGAATGATCCAGAAATAGAATCAAATCTGGTCCTGTTTTGTTGAGCTACCTACCATCAACCATTTCCATTACCTGGGATATGCTAGGAACCTTGCTTGGCTCTGGGGATAGTGAAGAACAGTAGGAAACTCATAGTCTGGTAGGACTGGATGTGGTAGATCCTTCCAGCCCTGAGTGTTGAGTGCTGGGGGAGGAAAGAGTGTGCTGAGCGGAGGCACCTGGACGAGCCTGGGACATCCAGGAGGTGCTGACACTGAGGAAGCTGAATCTTAAAGATGAGTCAAGGGTTAGTTGAGGAACCTGGCATATTTGAGAATTTGCAAATAGGTTGATTTGTCAGGCATAGATCTATTTTTATTTCTTCCTCAGAAGATACTCCAGTCTTCTCACTTGCATTGTGTTTGCCTGTGCTCTAACCTCTGTATTGTTGTTTATCTTCTTTCCTGCTAGAAATGCCTCCCCACCTGCCTATTTAAGATTTGCAGGCTTTTTTTTTTCCCTCTTGAAAGCTTTATATGACAGTTGTAGCCTTCAGCCCACATTCATCTATAACTTCTTTGAACTCTTAGGAGTTATAATTAGAACTATACTATTTCACATTTAAACAGAGACTGTTCTCGGGTTTCCCTAATTAGACTGAAAGCTTCATGAGCCAAGGGCTATACCTGGACATTTTCTCTTCCTTAAGATCTGGTAGTGCATTAGTGTACCATAAGTACATGTTAGATTCACTGGAGCGTATACAGAAATGATTATGTCATGTGGCAGGTTAATGAAATAATAAAGAAAACATGTGCCTGGAGTCCGTTGTTTTCAGGGTGCCTTTATCATTGCTTAGCTTTCACTACATCCTGCCACGAGGTGGCTCTAACATCTCCAGTGCCACCTTTTTAGACTGGAAGAAAAGGGCAGAGGACCTTGCCAGCTAAGTCCAAACCTTTTTATCGAACAGAAGCGCTCTCCTGGAAGTCCTGCACAGCAAGTGTTCCCTGCATCTTATTGACCCAACCTGTTGCATGGCCTCATTACCATGAGGAGGCTGGGAATTCAGATATGGGCCTGTCCAGCCTCTGTGGAGAAGTGAAGGAGGAATGTGGTTGGGACTTAAAATATCATATTACGAGAAATTATTTTAATGAGCTTGAGATTTCTTTCTACTTGTTTGGGGAAAATATTTCAAAGAGTAGAGTGTATAAAACGTCTGCATTTTGAAATACTATATGTTTTTAATGTCAAAAAAGTCTTATCTTTGAAAAGTTATGGTAAAAAGCAAAAAGCAAATGATTTTTTTTCTCTTTTTTTAACGGATGATTAAATCAGAAGTTTAAAAAGACAAAACGTGTTTTGCTTCCAAACCGCCTTGATGACCTTTTATCCCATAGACTCAGGGGCGTGGGGTGAGGAGCTCTGGGCAGGTGAACTGTGCCTTCCTGGATAGCTGGTCTGAGCCGTTGGTGCACCTGCGTGTTGGCAGGTGATTACCAACATTCTCGGCTAGTTAGTTTTAGAACTGCTCAGAGTTTAGTTTTGGCTTTGCTGTCAGTTATCTGCATGAGATACAGTCTCTCATCTCACAGATGAAGAAACTAGAAATATCAGTGGTTTTTAAATTGTGCCCTGTAGTGTGTTAAAAGGATCAAGGCAAGGGCGTGTTTGGAGGACTGAGGGAGCCCAAACAAAATCTTTATTTCTTTTAGGAAGAAAGGAAGAAATGACTATTGAATATGCAATAAAATTGTGTTTACCACACTACCCTTCTCTTGAAACTCACCAGAAACAGCAAAGAAAGAAAAATCCATGTCCAGAAAAGGGGGGCATTGGTTATAGATCCATCCTCCCACCCTTCCAAGAATAAAAGGACTGTAACATTATTTGCCTGGATATATAGACTGACATATAGGGTGAGCACAGGCTCTAAATACTTTTCCTCCTTGGACCTGAAGGGCCCATCTAGGGCCTAGTTGGAACCATGCTGTCTAGAGATATGAGCAGCCATGAAAGAAGCAGGGCATGACTGCAGAAGGCCCATTGTTGACTGAAATGTACAGAGCAGGAGCATCAATAGAAATACTCTCTGCAGCTAAACCTGTTGCTGAGGGAGACTAACGCTTGGGAGCTCTGATAGGAGGGGGAGGGGAAGCAACAGTGAACCAGTTATAATGCAGAAAGTCTGCCGCTTAGGGGCTTTACTCTGTGTTATATCATCCACTCAGAAGCCTTCAAAGACAGAGGCGCTTACGCATACAGGTCAAAGGAAATAACGTGGTGAGTGTTTGAGTTGTCTAGTCTCAACTGAAGCTGTGAACTATCTCAGCTCATCTCCATGGTCCCTGGCCTGAGAAATAACCAAAACAATGAACATAGTAATAGATGATGTAGGAACATGTGATAGACTTAAGCCACATAGCAAGAATTTAAAAGAATGAGCATACAAATGTGATGGACAAGCTGTGATGGTCATAGAAGACACACAAGACAGAGCTCACATATGCACAGTGTTTCTGCAGAGGAATCAAGAGTGAAGGAGCAGGAAGGACTGACTTTTCACTCTGTGGGTTCATTATTGGGTATCTACTGTATGCCAGGCAGGCATCATGCAGGGTGCTGAGACTTTAATGATGAGCATAAACACCCTCCTGGAATCTAAGAATGATCACTAGTGGCTATTATAGAATCCTGTAGACAAAACTGCAGCTGTGAAAAATGCCACAAAGGAAGGGCACAGGTCTATGACGGCTCAAGTTTGTGTGGAGGTTGGAGAAGGCTTTCCTGAGGAGCACTGGGGCTTGTCTGACGTTTATATGTATTATAATCAACTTAATGGGAAAGATAAAAGGTTTAGACCAAATAGTACTGTATATTGTAATGTATGTCATAACAGATTGTTTTTAAAAGCATGTAGACTGGGGGAAACATTGAGTTCATGATAATTGTTGCTTCTGGGCAGAGGAAAAAGAGAAGAAAGAAGCAAAGGAAGAATTAATTTTTCTTATTACAATTATCTAAAATAATTATGAAAAAATATTTGTTTATTCTGGATGGTATTTATTAGAATATTTTCTAGCCTCCTTGCTTGTTAATTTAAAAAAAGAGAGAGGAAAGAGGCCCTTGTCTGATGCCAGCAGCAGATACAGAGTATCCTTGTTGGGAAGGGGCATGGTGGGAACAGGTTCTCTGGGAAGCCCATGGGGGCTCTGCTATGGTGAAGGGCAGGCTGAGGGCTCCAGAGCAGGTGTGAGACCAGGAGTGCACATGCTAGTCCCTGGATTAGAGGCTGTAACGTACATTCGCAAAAGTGTAGTGTTCAGAGAAATGTGGGCAGGACCCAGGTGGATGGGATGGGTGAGGCGGGCATGACTGCAGGTGTCCAGCTTCGCAGCTGGATGATGGTGAAGGTGTGAGTCCAGGGAAGGGGTTTACATTGGCTGGAGGCTGTTTGAAAGCCTGTGGGGTTGACTTTGTAAAGGGAAAGCAGTGAAAAATGAGACACGTATGTATACATAACTATGAGGAGCCGTGATGTTCCTCAGACTTCGGGTGGAGATGGGTCTCAAACTTGGAACACCAGTGTTGGGATCAGGAGGAACAGCAGCTCCTCTCTGGTCTGGAAGGAAGCAGGAGAGGGTATAACAGCATGTTTGGTACCAGGAAGATGAGAGGTTTTGTATGAAATGACTTCTGCCGAGAATGGGTGAGGGTGGGTGTTGGTGGTTTGAGGCAAATAGGAAAGTTTCCAGCTTGTGGTTGTAGAGAGAAGGAAAACAAGTTGAGTAGAAACACACTTACGATTACCAGCAGTGTACACCATGTGGTGGGATGAGGAGGAATGGCCCTCAGCTTCTTGAGTGGGCATGGGAGTGGGACGTCTGGGCTTCATCCTGACAGACACGTGGGATGAACACGTGTGTGAAGTGACAGGTATAGATGGGCTAGGGCCTTGAGCATACCAACAGAAGTACTGTTGAAGGATGAGCCCATGGAGTCGGAAGTGAGTCAGGAGAAAGGTGGACAAAAGGGTGGGGCTCATAAGGGGGAGAAGACGGGGAGTCCATGGACTGGAGTTTCACGTAGGGTGAAGAGAGCAGTCATGGTGGCAGTGGCTGAGCAAATCAGCTGGGAAGAGGGCAGGCGGCTTTAGCACCAGGATATTTGAACTGGTGGTCTGGGAGCTTGAGTGGGTCTGGGAATGTCAAAATCCAGACAGAGCCCTGCCAGAAGTGGAGAAAAGTCATGGGGGATGGAGGCAGCCAGGAACTGAACTAAAACATGTTCGGTGTGTCCTCCACACGGGGCCATGCCACACAGCAGGATGGCAGCACCTTCTAGAGGGAAGACTGTCAGAGCCAGAGCCTGGCAGCTGAGGTCTGAAACTGGGGAGGAGTTGGAGGGCAGTCGAGGACAGTAAGAGGAGGGGCCCATGCCATTAGCAGTCTTTTCTTTGTTTTGCTTTCTAAAGAATGTGTGAGCAGTCATTTAAGAGGAGCAGGGAGAAGCAAGGGGCTCTGACTCTTTGTAGTCCTTGAACATGTGAAAGACAAGTTGTTGTCCCTTAAGAGGGCCATGAGGGAGAAGTGCTGTAGAAGAGAGCTGGCTTCAGGGAGTAGGAGATGGGGGAGCCTTCCGGGGATTGAGGGGCAACTCTGGGCCTGGGAGTCAGAAGCCTTGGTTCACTTAGATAAGAAGGTAGTAGACCCATGAACTCATGGTAGACCCATGAATGTAGGTTCTGCACACAGTTCTAGTCACGGCAGACCTAGGGCTGCATGGTCATACCACAAACCTGGAGGATGGAGGACCCAGATGCATTCAAAGACACAGCAGAAGAAAGTTATTTTGAAATTTTAAAAAGACTTAAAATTTGCTGAAAGTTATTACTGGATCTCAAAAAAAAATCATTCTAAACAATGAACTCTAAGATGTAGCCTGGTGAAAAAACAAATCCAAGACTGGAGGAAGAATTCTAAAAACATATGTGTTGTCACCTTCCGGTTTGGAGAGAGCAGTGGCGGCTGGCCACTCAGACTGGTGCGGTCTTCTTCATGCTGATGTCATACTCACTGTTGGAAGTAGAGTGACGTCTGAAAAGTCCTGAGGAAGGGAATGAGTGACTAACTACTTTCTGCCCAGTCCATAGATGGTGATGTTTGATGATATAGCCATTGTGACTCGGTAGAGAAAAAATGCTTGATAGTGAAACCTGGTTAACCAGCAGATAAAGGAAAGATTTAGGAATGGGGAAGCGGTTGTAATAGGACTCGTGGACATAAACCCCACTCAGAGCAGCTGGATATTTTGGTTATAGATCATAATTATGTCATAAGTCTTGAACAAATAATGTCACGGAAATCTGGATGTCAGGAAGGAGTGGTGGGAAGAAGTATGCTCATTTCCTTCTGGCAGCACAGAAGATATATCTCAAGCTCAAGTCATGAACAAGTGAAGCCCCTGACCTCTTCAAGGAGTAATATTCACAATTGCATTTATAATGGACATTTCTAGGTGCTGTTGTTTTGTTTCTCCCTTTAGTGTGCTTTCTATCCTTTGTAAACATGTTCATTACTTTCTTAGGATGTTGGGGGGTTGTAAATGATGCGTTAAATTGCTAAGGAGTTGAATTTTGATATTAAAAAAAGAAATCATCCTTGCACCCTCAGCTAGCAGTAGTGAAGTCTCCTGCCTCCCTTGGTGTTACATGCTTTTATGTTCTTCCATGCTCCCTCCTGCCTTGCCCTGCTGACTCACAGCCTTCATGTCAACAGGTGAGAATTGGGAGGTGTGCAAATCTGTTCTCAAATGTCTCCCTTTACATTTTTGTATTTTAAGGTATATTTTGATTACATGAGAAGCTGGATCCAAATGCTACAGCAGTTACCTCAAGCGTCCCATAGTTTAAAAAACCTGTTAGAAGAAGAATGGAATTTCACCAAAGAGATCACACATTACATACGGGGAGGAGAAGCACAGGCCGGAAAGCTTTTCTGGTAGGACTCCTTGTGCTTGTGCGTGCGTGTCCGTGCTTCTTACTCTCACTCCCGGTCAACTCAGGGGTTCTCCACAGGTGCTTGTTTAGCTACATGAGATTATAGTTATTCCTATTTCATATGTGCTCCCCTTCCAAGGTTTGGGCAGTGGCTCTCAACCAGGGTGACCTGCCCCCTTGGGGACATTTGGCCATGTCTAGAGACATGACGGGGAGGGTGCGGCCAACATCTAGCAGAGAGCAGGGATGCTGCTGAATGTCCCACAGTGCACAGGATGGCCCCACCACAGATCCATCCACTTGGCATATCAGTTTTGATTTGAGAGATCCTGCCTTAGCGTAAACCCTCTCTTTTTAATAAAAGGAAGGATAATGTGAGCCCTTGAAGGGTAGACCATACCTGTGTGTGTAAGTCTCGGTGAGGACATCAAGAACTTAAGCACTTTAAGCTTTTTAAGTGTGTGTTTACTGCCACTGTTTTGGGAATATGATTCTCACCGTAGAATCTCTTTATGAACTGGGGTTCTATATGGTGAGGAGGGCAGCGTGACCACTGGGCTGGGCTGTCTGTACTAGAAAATGAGCATCTTTTCTTGAGTGAAGGCTGGGGCTGTTGGGCACACGGTGCTTGTCAGTGGTCTTCATCAGTGGTTACTCTGTCTTGAACTTGCAGAGTGAGGGTCAGTGTCCTGTGCTCTAGGTTCTGCTGCTGCCTGTTGGTGCCACCATCTCCTACTTGTCTCATCAGTCATTTTCTTTCTTCTTGTTTCCTTTCTTACGAGATCTTTTATACCCAACCCAGATGCCCTTGCCTGCCCTCTGTGTGCGTTTAGGGCTTTAGCTTTCATGTCAAGTGCTCTTCTCACTCAGCAACTCACCGTTCTCTTCTCCACTGATCTCTGCCTCATATTCTGTATCTCAAAATCTTCAGTATCTCAACCTTTCTACCCTAACTGCCAGTTCTTTTGACATCCTCTCTCTTTACTTTGGGTAAGCCGTGACCTTGCTGTTGTCTCATAACTCCTCCAGTCCTTCAGGCTGTGATCCCAGTCTGTCTTGCTTTCTTATTTTGCTTGATTCCCAAGTCAGCCTCTTATAGAATGCATTCATTGCCATTTTCCACATCTATTCCTTCTCAGTTTTCCATAATTCTACTTTGCCTGTAGTTCCTTATGTTTGCATTTTCTGTTTCCAGCCTGTCAAGCTTTACTGAAGACATTTTTTTCAATGTTGCTGTTTAGTTTCACTACAAATTTGTGTTGGGTGATTTTACCATGCCCTCACTTCCTTTTTTTTGGTCTTTTGCATGTTCTTCAAATTCCCTAGAGAGCAGTCCTGGCCTCTGCATTCATGATCCCTGTTCTGAGAAGCTCCCAGGGTTCTTTGCTTTTCCTTTCTGTGGCCGGCACTTCTTTTCTGGTTCTGGACTCTGCGCCTTTCATTGTGTTAGAGCAGCAACGACTCCAGGTTCATTCAGTGGTGGAATCAGCCCTGCCTTCTTTTTTTTTCTCACACATCCTACCTTGAATCCTTTGGCTGTCCCTTTAGGATGTATACAGAATCTGACCTCTGCCCCAAAGCACTCCAAACTACCACTAGCCAGGTTATCATTTTCCATGTGTGTTAGCACAGTCCCTCTCTAAGTAGTCCCCTGGCTTCTGCCCATAACCTCCTGTGGTTTATTCTTAGCACCATAGCCAGAGGGATCCTGTTAGAATATGTGTCAGACCAGGCTCTCTAAATGCTCCAGCGCTCTTCGTCTCGCCTAGTGGAAGTGAGAGTGACTAGCAGTGGCCGGAAGGCTGACACATAGAATTCTCATTTGGTCTTTGCCCTCCTTCAAGACTCTGCTGTGTCTGCTGTGTAGCTGCAGTGGCCTCATCACGGGGCCTTACAGGCTGGGCATGCTCCTGCCTCTGGCCCTGTGCACCTGCTGGTCCCTCTGTGTGAACTGCTGTTTTCCCCAGTTATCTTCATGATTCAGTTTCCCACTTCCTTCAGGTCTTTGTCCATGTATAATCTTCTCAGTATATTTAAAGTTGAAATTCCTACCCACAAGTATGCCTTAGCTTTTTTCCCTATTTTTTCTCTCCATAGCACTTACTAATACCTAAAATACAATGTATTTTACTTTTTAAAATTTATTGTCTTTTCATCCACTGCATGGCTCCTATCTCTTTTGTTCACTGCTGCTTAGAATGTAACAGTTACTCTGTTGAATAAATCTGTCCTGGGTGTCCTTATAGAATCTTCTCGAAAGCATGTTTCTAGTCAGGTCCCTTTCCCACTTTGTATTCTAAAGTGCCCCCTTTGTCTAGCAAATATGAGAATAATCAGTGTGACATCCAGTGCCCTCCATAGCTCAGCACTCGCTAACATTCCTGGTTGTGGTCTACCACCCCTTGGTGGCTCAGACACCCACTACTCCTTTCAGATGGGATGATTTTTTTCCTCCCCACAAACATGCTTCTTGCTTGACATGTCAGCATGCCTTTTGACCATATTTGTGGTTCTTCCTGGACTTTCCTTCCTTTCTTTCATTTTCGTCCTGACAGAGTCCCCCATCCCACTGTTATTCCACCTGTTAAAATTCTACATAGGTCTAAAGGTCCAATGCAGGGCTTTCTAGCCATGAAACTATGCCTTCAGCTTGGTGTGAGACCATGCCATCAGCTGGCTATGACACCATGCTCTCAGCTGGGTATGAGACCGTGCCCTTGGCTGGATATGAGACCATGCCTTCAGCTGGGTATGAGACTATGCCTTACCTGGGTGTGAGATAGTGCCCTCAGCTGGGTGTGAGACCGTGTCCTTAGCTGGGTGTGAGACTGTGCCCTTGAGTGGGTGTGAGACCATGCCCTCAGCTGGGTATGAAATGGTATCTTCAGCTGTGGGTGTGAGACTATGCCTTCCACTAGGTATAAGACTGTGCCTTCAGCTGGGTGTGAGACTACCCTTGACTGGGGATGAGACTGTGCCCTTGACTGTGCCTCAGCTGGGTGTGAGATCATGCTCTCAGCTGGGTATGAAATGTTGTCCTCAGCTGGGTGTGAGACTGTGCCCTCACCTGGGTTTGAGACCATGCCTTCAGCTGGTTGTAAGACCGTGCCCTCGACTGGGTGTGAGACCATGCCTTCAGCTGGTTTTAAGACTATGCCTTCAGCTGGGTGTGAGACTGTACCCTCAGCTGGGGATGAGCCCATGCCTTACCCGGGTGTGAGGTAGTGCTCTCAGCTGGGTGTGAGACCATGTCCTTGGCTGAATGTGAGACTGTGTGCCTTACCTGGGTATGAGACTATACCCTCCGCTGGTTATGAGACTGTGCCTGTGGCTGGGTGTAAGACCGTGCTTTACCTGGGTGTGAGGTTGTTCTCTCAACTGGGTATGAGAGAGTGTTCTCAGCTGGGCGTGAGACTGTGCCTTCAGTTAGATGTGAGACTGTGCCCTTGGCTGGGTATGAGACCATGCCCTCACCTGGGTGTGAGACTGTGTCCTCAGCTGGGTATGAGATTGTGTCCTTGGCTGGGTATGAGACCGTGACCTCTGCTGGGTGTGAGACTGTGCCTTATCTGGGTGTGTGATTGTTCCCTCAGCTGGTGTGAGACCGTGCCTTCAGCTGGGTAGGAGACAGTGTCCTTGACTGGGTGTGAGACTATGCCTTATCCAGGTGTGAGACCATGCCTTCAGCTGGGTTTGAGACTGTGCCCTCACCTGGGTGTGAGAACATGCACTCACCTGGGTTTGAGACCAAGACTTCAGCTGGTTGTGGGACCATGCCCTCAGCTGAGTGTGGGACCGTGCCCTCAACTGGATGTGAGACCATGCCCTCGGCTGGGTGTGAGACTTTGCCCTTGGGTGGGTGTGAGACTGTGCCTTTGGGTGGTATGAGACCATGCCCTCAGCTGAGTAGGAGACAGTATCCTTAGCTGAGTGTGAGACTGTGCCTTACCTGGATGTGAGACTGTGCCCTCAGCTGAGTGTGAGACTGTATCCTAAACTGAGTATGAGACCATACACTCACCTGGGTTTGAGACCAAGCCTTCAACTGGGTGTGGGACCATGCCTTCGGCTGGCTGTGAGACCATGCCCTTGGCTGGGTGTGAGACTGTGCCCTTAACTGGGTGTGAGATAGTGCCCTCAGCTGGATTTGTTCTTTTCTGATAACACTTAACTTTTGCCACACCTGATATTGGTTATATACTTACCTGCTGTCTTTTCCTAGATTATAAGCTCTTTTCCTTGAACATTGTAGAGATCAGTAAACTGTTGCTGAATTTTGCTACACTAATTTAAATTTATTTTTTACACTTGGGTGTACATTTTAGCACTAGTATTTAGAATTTTGTATTTAATAAGAAGCATCAGTGAGGTAGAGTATTTCATATTTATTGACTATAAAAAACTAATTGTGAGGGAAATTTTTAAAAACAGTTGCATTTAAAGAATTCACTTTCCCCCGTCCTATCATTTAATTTATGTAAGAGACCATTTTGTACCATTTGAAAATTTGTTTAAGATGGAATTGATATTTGTGTACTAATCACATATTGTGAATACGATATAAGATTTTAAGGTTTATAATGAAATATGGTGGTAATAGAACAGAGGTAAGTACGTGCTGTATCCAGATTTCTACTCTTTCACATTCATGGTTTTACATTAAAAGAAGAGAAAACGCTTGTCATCCTTGACTTTGAAACTCAGGAAGCAGTAAGCTGAGCCTTTCAGTTTCTCACTCAGGGGTTTAGGATGTGTGTGAGGCCTGTGTTCCTTCTCTGCTTTATTTTTGTTATGTTTGTTCCCTTAGTGATATCGCAGGAATGCTGCTGAAATCTACCGGGAGTTTTTTAGAGTTTGGCCTGCAGGAGAGCTGTGCTGAGTTTTGGACCAGTGCTGACGACAGCAGTGCTTCGGATGAGATCAGGTCAGAGCCCTGCTCTTTCCTGCACTCCTTATCTTGGGTGTTGTTCTGGGGAGGAGCCTGCAGGGGGCCTTGTTCATGCTAGCTTGTGTTGGACCGAAGAGTGTGGGCAAGGCACCTGAAGGGATTGATTCTGACTCATTTGTCTTTTCATTTTTTCTCTCAGTAATGGTTATGTGTGAATTTCCCTCGAAGGCAAACTTAGCATTTATTTAGCATAGTAAAAATAGTGCCTTTAGAGAGAGGAATAAAGTCAACTAAAATGAGAATTCTCTTCATCCACATTGTCTGGGATGCCTTTAATATGCTTCTGTCCTTTAAAACCTCTGCAGCATCCATGCATATATTTTAATGTCACTTGTTGCATTTTTATTGTTTTTATGTTTAGTGTATTTTTTCTGTTGAACTTTAAGTATACAAAACCAGAGCTTTCAAGAAACCAGTTTCTTTCCATTTTATGCAACTAGTATTTAGGTTGAACTATGTGAAGTTGTTATTTTTTGTGGCATATATATCAGCTATAGTGCAACTTTGTGGCCATGTATTCAGCAGTGTCATGATTCAACCATAGCAAGTGCTCAAAGAGAACTGACTTCTCCAGAACTAAAGTTTTTTCTCCCACTATTCAAGTTATGATGAACACATTTTGGGTTTCAGAACACCTGGTCTGTTTTTATGCCAGGGTTAAAGAAAGAAGATCCTACATAGATTCTCACCTGAAAATATTGAATAGCTGAGCAAGGGATGAATGAATCAGCTTGCAGGTCTTACAGTTTTAAGAGCTAACATGGTGGATTCAAAATAATCCCAAACTCATGGTTACCAAATGAACATGAGAACTCAGGAATTAAGATGGTGAACTAGAGAATGGCCTTTAGGATGCTCTAACTGTTTGCTTGGGATGAATGTTGGGGGCGGACATCTGTGCAGCGCCATGCCAAGTTTCTTTGAAGTTTCAGGAGCTGGTGGTGCACATCTCTTCCTGAGTCGTTGCTCAGGGATATCATACTGTTATGTTAAAATTAGCTGTGATGACAATATTAGTACCACAGAAATTGGCATGCACCACATAAGACACTATTTTGAGGGGAGCCAGTGGTTAGATATTTACCAGACTGTGCTTGTAAATTTCTATTTTTAATTTGAAAACGAGCTGGGGGTCAAGGACTTACCCCAAACTCCAAGAAATGATTATAGTGAAACCTTTAGACAATTAAGTTTCCTGTTATTCGAAGGTTATTCAATGTGTCTGCTTATATGTAAAGGATATAAATGTTTTCTACAAAACTGTCAGGAGCAAGCTTCTGAATATTTTGAATACATGCTCAGTAGTTGCTTGCTCCCATTTAAAAAATCTCCAGTTTGTCTTTATATTACTGTGGTTTGGAATTACTTTATCTCTATGCAATGCCCCTCGCACCTCTGGCTGTTCCCTTACATGCTCTAACTGGACTTCATCCACGTGGCAGGAGGTCTGTTATAGAGATTAGCCGAGCCCTGAAGGAGCTTTTTCATGAAGCCAGAGAAAGAGCTTCAAAGGCACTGGGATTCGCTAAGATGTTGAGGAAGGTGAGTTTACCGTGCTGGCTAGTTAATGTCTTTTTCTTATTTTTCTTTTACTTGCCTTTTGAGCAAACTAACCCTAAGGAAATTTCTTTGTAACTGTGATCCTAGGACTTGGAAATCGCGGCAGAATTTGTACTTTCAGCCCCAGTAAGAGACCTCCTGGATGTTCTGAAATCAAAACAGTATGTTAAGGTACATATTTAAAATGGTGCAATTGAAATATTTTGCCGTTCCTACTTCATTCTACAACAGGCAAACTTTATCTTAATTGTCCAGATAGTAAATATTTTAAGCTTTGAAGGCCATACCCTGACCTCAGTTTTAAGACTGTCCCATAATTTCCCAGTAAAATAATGAGGAAAAAAACAGTTTTTTTCATACTTGTTAACTTTTCTTAAGAATGTAGACAAATCAAGTATTTGCTCCTACTTTTTAATTTATTAATTTAGTTACACATGGATATTTCAAGTAATGTCTATAATTATAGAGACAATATTGATGTAAATGGTGATTTTGTTTCTCATGTTTATACTTCCTGAAGCAAATCAGTGTCCTGGTAGTCACCAGAGCTACTTCGCATCATCCTCTTCAAGCTGTCTGAGATTTAGCACTTGAGAATCTGTGTGTGATATCATCACTGGAAATCTATCCCAGGCCCCGAATTCTATCCCACTCACCTGCTTGGAGGGGTGGGGTGGGGGGCGTGACCTGCACAGCATCATTGCATCAGTGTCCCTTGTTCAAGTGATCTTTCAGAGACTTTTTATGATAACTCCCTCCCCTGCACTGGAGTAATGAGTGAATCTAGGTTAACATTTTTGCCTTTTTACCAAGTCATGTGACTTTTGCAAACTAGCATTGGTTGTGGTTGTTTCAGGCTGACTTTCCTTCCCTAAAGAATATTTTCTTTGTTGTTGAAAATAAAACAATGAAGAGGAAGAGAATGCTCTGTGATGGGACAGACTACATGAGAACGTCTCCCCAGTACCTTCACAGACTCTCTCCTCCCCTCCTCATCCACACTAAACTGAGCGGCTTGCCTTCCCCTCGCTTCTGACTCCTGCCCTTCCCACCTCCCTTCCCCAAACCTGTTTGTCCTTTTCTACTTTGTTTTTTTTTTTAAATAATGGATTTCTTGAATGCACACAATTCATTAATTTATGATGTTGGTTTGTTTCTTTTCCAGGTGCAGATTCCTGGGTTGGAAAACTTGCAAGTGTTTGTTCCAGACCTTCTTGCTGGGGAGAAAAGCATTATTTTGAAATTACTCAATGCAGCTGCAGGAAAGGACTGTTCGAAAGACTCAGATGACGTACTCATTGATGCCTATCTCCTCCTGGCCAAGCATGGTGACCGGGCTCGAGATTCAGAGGACAGCTGGGGCTCATGGGAAGCACAGCCTGTCAAGATTGTGCCCCAGGTGGAGACGGTTGACACCCTGAGAAGCATGCAGGTCTGTCTTACCCATTCCCATGCCCACTCCTCCCACTCCCACCTTTCAGCAGTTTTACTTAAAATACTTCTAGGAAAAATGTTGGCAGCTCATGAATGATTGATTTAACCACCCTAGTACTTTCAAGCATATACTTCCCAAAATGTGCCTCAATGCTTTAATACAAAATTTTGCAGCATAATTGGTAGTAAAATATTCTATCAAATTCTGTTAAATATGTTAAATTAGACTGAATATTTGAAATAAACCATCTCTTTTATTTATACCTTTTCTTAGTTCAGTCATGTAGTTAGGTCTATAGAGCCATGATCTGAAAGGAATTAGGTCGTTAATGTAATCAATAGTTCTAAAAACCTCATTCTTCAAGTGCTCTGGTTTACTGGTTATTTAGTTTTAATCTTTGTTTTGAAAGCTATCATACTTATATAACAGGGACCTTGTGACAGTTGTGGAACTCCCTACTTAAAACTGTGATATGCCCTCTCACGTTGTCTGTGTTCAGCATAGGAGCCGTGATGGAGTGTGCTCACGTGCTCCTGGAGCGCAGCCTGACCAGAGCTGTGTACATGGCCTGTGTCTCCCTCACTCCCACAGACCTGCTCTTACAGCCCGACTCAGTGCATGGTGCTGTGTTCACTCACTTGTTTAAACCAGAAATGTGACAGTTAGTCTAAACTCAGCCTCCCACCCTTCTAGTTATATCCCAGCCCTGGCAAGCTGGAAGCATTTCCAATAAATGATCCTTCCCTATATTCCAGAGCCACTGCCATAGTCAGAGCTTTACCATCCCTTTCCTGAACTTGTGCAGTGTCTTACCTTTCGGTTTCCCTGCTCAGGCTTCACCTGTCTTCCCTCCACTTCTATATTTGTTTATTTCTGCACTTCCAGAATGTTCATTATAATATATACATCAAATCACATCACAGATCTGCTCGAAATACTGCAATGACTCTATCTTCTGAAGAACAAGAGTAATAAAGTCCTAATTTCTTAAGGTTTTATATGAGACCCTGCATCTCATTTCACTCTTATTCCTGCCTTTTCTCCTACATTTACTTCTCTAACACACACACACACACACACACACACACACACACACTCACACACACACACACACACACTCTCTCTCTCTTATTCCTGCTTTTTTCTCTTTCACTTGATTCTCATTCTCTCTCTCTCTCATTCTCTCTCTGTACCAGCAATATTGAACTACTTGCAGTTCTAGAATATTTCAAAGATGTCATGCCTGCCCAGTCCCATGGATTTCCTCTCCACTGTGCTGACCCTCCTAGATGTCAGTGCCTGCTATGATGTGTTGCTCTGTGGGAGCAGCTGTGCTTGAAAATGATTTTCTGGCCAGATAGTTGTTGGCCTGGTGGCCCTGGGTTGGCATTGTTTTTGGACTGGGGGTTGAATTAGAGTGGGAAAACAGTAACTGGGTCTGTTGTTAAACCCTGTGTTTGATTTTCCTCCCAGGTGGATAATCTTTTACTAGTTGTCATGCAGTCTGCCCATCTCACGATTCAGAGAAAAGCTTTCCAGCAGTCCATTGAGGGACTCATGACTCTATGCCAGGAGCAGACATCCAGTCAGCCGGTCATCGCCAAAGCTCTGCAGCAGCTGAAGGTATTGCATTGTCCCTTATCTTAGCTCTGCCTTTTCTTCTGGAAGTAATGCTATGGAAGAACCTGCTCATTGTAATGTGTGTAAGGTGATGTCATGCAGGGAACTGGAGCTCTTAAATTGTCCTTCCCATTCTCTCTTTTTCCCCAGTACAAATTTTTGCATGTTTAAACTACAAATTCCCGAATTTTTCCTAGAACTGTAGAACTTTGGAACTGGGAAGAATAGAAGTTTGAGAGGTTATGTGACTTATTCATAATGGTCACGTGACAGGTTAGCAAAGCTGAGATTGGAACGTAGGTCTCTTCATTCCCAGTGTAAATTTTTTTCTCCTTTAGCAATTACTAGTATTTACTAGAGGTACACCATATCAGTAATGTGTAATGGAAGATTTATTTATTGTTTTGTTTGACAAATAATTCAGCCAAATGAACTGTAATAGAAAAAACTAATTGTGAACAGGCACAGAAGACTTCAAAATTTACGACAAGCTGTAGCCTCGCTTACTTTTCCATTATTTTCTGTTTTCACCACGTTCTATGTTGTATGGCATTTGTCAGTCGTGATGTCATTCATACTTTTCACCAGGCCATCAGTTATGTCTTCTCAGTCACCTCAAGGCTTGACTTCTTGAAGAACTGCTCCCTGAAATTACACGCCATTTGATAAACATTTACTTTTCTTCTGTCAACCTGTTTTGTCCTATTTATTTATAAACATTTATTAACTAAATGTTTATCTTATCTCTCATATAGATTGTAATCCCACCCTAACATCAGAGCAGGGAACTTTTTTCTTTTAGTTTGAGCCAAAGAATTTAGGAGAGTGCAAAATTTGTTGATTAGTCTTGAACTAAAGGAGTATATAGCCCTAAGGAACTGAGTTGTCACACTAAAGTACAGAGGAGACAGGGAATTATACTAAGGTGGCATTTTGGCTTGGGAGGATTTCAAAATAGTACAAATTGGGAAGGAACTAAAAAAGGGGCATTTGGAAGTTGATGAAACACGGTTGTGGGTATGCTTACTGAATACCATGTAGTGTGATTTGGCTGGTATTGCTATATACAATACAAAGTAGTAGGAGATGAAACTGGTAAAATAAGGGTTGCCAAAAATCAGGTTGTTGAGATATGTTGGGTTGTATTTTGTAAGCCTCAGAGAGTTATTGGATATTTTGGAAGAGTATTTTGAAACAGGATGGAGATTGACTGATGGAGACCATGTCCATGCATATGTGTGTTTTTAAGGGGAGGTGGAAAGGGAGATGGATTTGGAGGTATAGTTGTATTGCTGAGGGCAAATAAAACTTCAGCTAGGCAGGGCTTCCCAGTCTCTGCACCCTGAACATCTGGGGGTCAATCCTGTGCACTGTAGGATGTTCAGCACATCCCTAGCCTCTGCTTTCCACATGCTGGTAGATTCCACCCCTTCCTCCAAGTTTTGATAATTAGAAATGTCTCTGGAAAATGTCTCCAGACATTGAGGGGAGAGGGCAGAATCTGCCCCAGTTGAGAACCCCTGGACTAGGAAGGAGCAGGGTAATAAGCACAATATGACTTGATGACATCATGAAGGTCACTTAGAAATATGTGGGCTTTCACTCAGTGGGGTTGAAACCATGATTATACTTGAGCAGCCACCTAGAGAGAAAACAACAGGTGGTTGATATATAAAAATATTGAAGACATAACCATCCATTCCAGGACCAGATTGTAATTAGGCACAATCATTTTAAATAGATTTTTTTTCTTGTATTTCATAAGATATTAAATAATGCATAAAACATGAAAAAATGAAAACAAAATGATTTTCTCTATATTTGGTCATTCCTTTTGATAACTATAACTGGCTGAAATGTATTACAGTGGTTAATGCCAGTGTGGTGATGAACAAAACCCTTCTTTAAAATGTAGTAAGTATTGTGTGATTTGCTTCATTTTGGATTAATCATGGTTTGGGACTCTTTAGAATGATGCATTAGAGCTGTGCAACAGAATAAGCAATGCCATTGACCGCGTGGACCACATGTTCACATCAGAATTTGATGCTGAAGTTGATGAATCTGAATCTGTCACGCTGCAGCAGTATTACCGGGAAGCAATGATTCAGGGGTACAATTTTGGGTTTGAGGTAGGTTCAGAATAAGAAGTAACATACCATGCAGTTTAATAATTGTTCGATAACTAACAGAAAATATTGGGAATCTTTTACAGTAAATCTGATATTAATTGTAATCACAGCTTAGTCAAGAATGTTATCTTACACCACTGCTGAATATCAGAAGTGTTAGTTTACTTTTAAATTGTCAGGTAACTACCCAGTTTTTATTTCATGCTGACAGCTGTCTACTTACATTTTAAAACTCTCTTGAAGAGATGTGTAATAGTATGCATTTGAATTCTTAATTTATACTCGGGAGTAAAACATTTATGAAATTGCATTTTGAGACACTGTACTTTTCATAATTCTTTATACTATTCAAAATATAAAAATTTTAATTGGATTTTGCTTTTAGAAAACATTTTAGACAGATATGACACTAATGTGTGGATATTACTATAATGGTCGTTTTCTTCTTGATTTTGACATGTATGGTTTCTTCTTACAGTATCATAAAGAAGTTGTTCGTTTGATGTCTGGAGAATTCAGACAGAAGATAGGAGACAAATATATAAGCTTTGCCCGGAAATGGATGAATTATGTCCTGACTAAATGTGAGAGTGGTAGAGGCACAAGGCCCAGGTAATGATTAAGTAGAATGCTTCTTGAATGAATCATGTGGGGTTGGTAGTATTTTGTTTATATATGTTATATGGGACTTTTGAACAAATGACTCAAAAGGGAGCATTCTAAACTCTTTGGTGATTAGGTTTTTTTTAAATGAAAATGTGTACGTAGAGAACCCTATCACTCTTGGAAAAAAATTTTTTTAAGTTTGTTTCAAACTGAGTTCACATTCTTTTGGAACAGGTCTTCCTGATTGCTAAACTTTTTTCCTCCATCATGAAATTTAGGCCTGTTAAATAGTATAAATGTAAAAGAAATTGGTAACTAGTTATCAATTAAGAATCCATTTTGGAATTTGCCAGAGAAAAATGTGTAAATTGTCTGTGAGGCTCAATAGTAGCTCCACAGAAGTAAATGTAGTTCTTAAAAGGTCGTGACTGCATGAAAAATAGCAGTGTTCTGTAATTCAAAATGAAGGGACAGCACGGGGGCACTTCGTAAAAGCAATTAAGCTATTTATCTGAATGTGTATTGGAGAAAACACACGTTTGCTACATCTTGAAATTAAAAGTAGGAAGTCAGGCGTACACAACTCAAAATAATTATTGGTATCCATCTCTTCTAAAGTCTTTCATGCTTCCCATTGACTTAAACAAATTAAATTAAAAAATTTATTGTTTCCCAAGAGGTCACACTATAAACATATTCAACCCAGGCCAAAAAAAAAAAAATGCCTTGTCCTAGATAGTAATTTTCCAATTATATTACTTTTCAGTATTGTACAGTCTAAAACTGCCACATTTCCTTGCTTGTTTTGTGGTGACTGAACTTTTTCATATACCAGGTGGGCAACTCAAGGATTTGATTTTCTGCAAGCAATTGAACCTGCCTTTATTTCAGCTTTACCAGAAGACGACTTCTTGGTATGGAATAGTCTAAAGTTTTTTTCATTACAAAACAAACAAGTTTATCACTCTCTGTTTTCAGGTTGTATCGTTTTACATGTAATAGTGGTTCTTAAATATTTTTAAGCTATAAATATATAAATATTTTATAATGGTAATTCTGAGACATTAAAGCACTCTTAATAACATAGTAAGATATTCAGTACTTTTTTCTTTTTGTAACAATAGTGTTCAACTGAGTCAATGTCTAGTTGTCTGTAAATCCCAGTGCTTCTAAGATATTTGTGAGTTCTGTTTTATAAACTGCCATCATAATTGCTAGTTTTTGGAAGAACAAGGATTATCTCTCACTTCAGTGTGCATTATTTGAGAGCATCATACCTGTGTTAAACATTATCACTGCTAGACAGACAAATTCCATCAGGTCAAAAAGATGTAGCTCAAAATGTGAATTCATTCGTTTTATCCTCCTAGTAGTAGAGATGGTTACTTGGAAAACTCTTCGCTTGTGCTCATCATTGTGTTATGGGAAATGGATAGCTAATTTGCTTTGACTTGTAAAAATGGAACTGTATGCTGTATTATTTTAAATTACATACTATTTGTATTTATACTTATTTTCTTTTAAACTAACTTTGAAAATACTTTGGGTTGCATGTTTTTAAAAAATCAACTGAAGACCTTATTGGTGCTATGTATATAATTAAGAGAGTGAGTATACATTCTTTCTCTTTCCCATTTTCCTTTGGTTTCTAGAGTTTACAAGCCTTGATGAATGAATGTATTGGCCATGTCATAGGAAAACCACACAGTCCTGTTACAGGTTTGTACCTTGGTAAGACAGCCATTACAGCATTTCTCCTGGAACATATTGGTTTGGGTGAACAGATCATCTTGTGATTGCAGTCATTTAAAATGGCATAAGAAGTGTTTTAAGAAAATTCAGGAAAATGATAGAAATGAGGTATGTATATAGTGAACTTTAGAGTAATCTTTCTCAATCCAACAGGAAGATTAAAATGCAATCATAAGGTATTCTATGCTAGCCAGTGATGTTAAGTTTTAGTTTTGTTCTTTTTCTATACCAACACTACCATTTTGCTTTTCCCCTTGACGTCTTTTCTCATGGGGAGGAAAGATGGGAAGTGGCAGTCATCCATCAAGTAATAGGAGCCTCCCTTGCGACAGCTGAATGAATATAATTTATCTGTTCCTCCTTCTGAAGGAGACGGGTGTCTGCTTTCTTCACCGTTTTTGAGTACCCATTTCCCCACAAACTGTGGTAAATTCTGCTTTGGATTTACTTTTAAAAATATCCTGTTAAATTATGCCATAATGTGCATTACTTTAATTACATTGTACAGTTGCATGGTCATGTTGAATGATTCACAGTTTTACAATATACGTTGAAACTTTCAAACGAAATGTATGTCAAGAAAAGGCTGTGTTTTCTGCCACCCTTGAGGTAGTTTATAAATAAACCAGAACTGTATTTGTATGTAATAAATGCCCAAGAATGAAAACTTAGATATTTACGCTATTTAACTTACACAAAAATTAATTCATAAATGATAAAGTTTTAGAACAATAACTATATTTCTTAGAGGTCACTTGCTAGATACAGAAAATTTAATAGAACAGGTTTTAATGATTGGTTTTTTAAATCTTTAAAATGCACTCCGTTTATACTTCTTTTTCTCCCTAGAGTGTTATGAAAATGAAAATTATCACTTATAAAATTTTCACCATTTTATATAAAGCACGCTATTATCTTATTAAACTTTTGCTCAAGCATATTATCACGAATAGATTTTGATTTTCTGATCTCTTAAAATATTTCTCTAAGAATACATGATCAGTAATTCAATAAGAATTACTTTAAAAAATATTTTATTACATAAGGAATCATTTTCATTGTAGAAAAATCAATATAGAAAAAGTATGTAGAAAAACATGGAAGACGTGCATTCAGAAAAGTTTTCAATGTTGAAAAAAATTACAAAAGAAAAAAATACTCATACTTTCATAATCCAGAAATAATCCCTGGTAACATCTGGGTCAGTAATCTTTCAATATACCTGTCTCTCCAAAATGCTGGTGGGACAGTTAATTAATAGCGCTCTCAGGAGGCTCACATTGTCCTTTGTCCTCTCAGCCACTAAAGGATGGTAGAACTGAACTCAGAGTCAGATTGCTCAACATCAGGTGCCCTGGGGCGCTCATTTAACATCATGGAGCCTCCCCTTTTAATACATCAAGTGGGATGCTAATGAGGATTAAATAAGGTAATAACATCATGTAGACTTAGTGTTCTGTACACAGCAGGGGTCATCATTTGGTTTTGTGTTCTGTTCTTACAAGAGAAAGTGATGAAAATTAGAGAGCACACCAGCTGGCATTTTATTATTGTTGCTCACTGTCTTCCTCTCCCTCTGTTCTAAGCACATAACAAATGATAACAACCTGGTATGTAACTTTCCATATTTTCTATATATTCATATAATTACAGAAATGCATTCTACATATGCCTTTTTCTATGCTCACTTAGTTACACGAGCATATATAGGGTTGTTTGTTTTCCTGACACTTACTGTACAAACATTGAATCATTTGGATATTAATCTCTTACTTTTCTTCTCTGACAACTGTAGAAATTTCTCCATGTCAACAAGGATACTGTAATTCTTTCTATCATTTCTTTATATGAGCTTTTGTCTATTTTGGCCATGAAAGCCATCTCTGTAATAATCAGTGTTCACCAGTAACAAAATTTAAACGTCTGTTTTATGTTTATTAGCCATTTGGATTTTCTTTCCAATTAGATATCACAGATTTGCAGTGTTAAATATACATACTATTAAAAGAATTGTTTTGTTTCATGCATGAAAAATTATTAAACTTGTGTGTACATGTTGTTTTTTAAATAGAATGTCTTTGATTTATGCCTTCATGAGAAAATCTTGTAGTAACTAGGTTGTTCTCAATATCTCTGCTAAATTAAAGATATCATCTTAGCTGGGTGCAGTGGCTCATGCCTGTAATCCCAGCACTTTGGGAGGCTGAGGTGGAAGGATTACTTGAGCCCAAGAGTTCAAGACCAGCCTGGGAATATAGTGAGATCTCATCTCTACAAAAAAAATTAAAAATTAGCTAGGCTTGGTGGCACCTGTAGTCCTAGCTACTTGGGAGGCTGAGGCTTGAGGATTGCTTGAGCTCAGGAGTTTGCAGTGGTGAGACGTGATCATGCCACTGCACTCCAGTCTGGGTGATAGAGTGAGACTCCACCTTAAAAAAAAAAAAGTTTTTTTTTCACTAACTTTTTTTTTTAACCTTTGGTACTATTGAATTTCTTCTTGTTTACCATTGTAATAACTGAGATAATGAACCAAACTCAGATTGCCTGAGTTTGTTAGATTTCTTGATTTTTGTTTAGCAAGAGAACTTCAGATCTCTCCATTTTTGATACTTCTGTCTTGTTTGATATTATTAACAGGAAACAAACAAAGCCACGAAGAAAGAGGATTTTCATTTAGGAAATGAAAATATTTGGGATAAAAACATATGTAGACTAAAATTATTAATGTGAAGAGAAAATATGACATTAAACTTTCTAAGAAATGTTAACATGGGTTGTTACAAGTAAAATACAAGAAAAATATGTTAGAGAGAGAAACAGGCAAATGGTAACAATCAACAGTTAATGGGAAAGTGGAATTAACAGCATTTTTGTAATCTCTAAGATCTCTAGTTTTAAGTTTCATTTTAAATTTAATCCATACTTACCTTTACCAGAATATTTAAAAGTAAGCATGCTCTTAAAAAAAGAAAAAAGCACGCTTTTAAATTGTACACCATCTACCTGGTTTGGTTTAAAGGAGTTATGTTAAAACTGTAAGGCTGGGCACGGTGGCTCAGCCTGTAATCCCAGCCCTGTGAGAGGCCGAGACAAGAGAATTGCCTGAGCTCAGGGTTCGAGACCAGCCTAGGCAACCTGGTGAGACCTCATCTCTACAATAAATCAAAAAATAAGCCAGTCATGGTAGCATGCACCTGTAGTTTCAGCTACTTGAAAGGCTGAGGTGGAAGGATCTCCTAAGCCCAGCAGGTTAAGGCTGCAGTGGCTGTGAGTGTGCCACTGCTCTCGAGCCTGGGTGACTGAGTTGGACTCAAAAAAACCCCAAAAAACAGAAAACAAAACTCTGGGAAATAGAACTGACTGGAAAACAACAGTGACCTCAAATACAGGACTTCTCGAAGTGTCCTTGCTGACCAAAATCTTTTAAAAATGTGGATAACACAAAGAATTCCTTTTTATTAGAGAAATATCAGATAAGCCACATTTTCATTTATCTCTAAAATAGGTTAAATCATTTGTTTAGCTTATATTGTGCACTTTTCATGCAGGATTTTTAAAAATGTTTTTGATGGAGAAAAGTTTGAATGCATAATCCAACTTTAAAGTGACATTTCCCACAATTTTTGTATACGTAATATGATTTTTTGCTCATTAAATAGATTTATTTTGGTCATTGGCAAAATTCAGTGACATCTCACTTACATTTGCCTCATTGACAATTTTCTCTGGACCACTTTACCAAGCTATGTTTGTTGCCATTTTTACTGGCAGCCATCCATCGGAACAGCCCCCGTCCTGTGAAGGTTCCTCGATGCCATAGTGACCCTCCTAACCCACATCTCATTATCCCAACTCCAGAGGGATTCAGGTATTTGGTGCCTATCTGGTCATTTGCTTTATGGAGTCTTCTCTGATGTGCATGCTAATACTTTGAAAACTACTGGTTGCTTGCTGAAAGCTAAATATTTTTTTCTGTGTTATTGTCCATATACTTTTAAAAGCTCTTATTTGCATTATCTTGAAACCTTAGTTGCAAGGAAAAATACATGCAAATTTACAACAGCACTGTACGTTTCAAGATAACTTTGTTTCTCAGCTTATTTATAACCTCAAGCTACTAAATGCTTTCTGACTTTGGAGAAATTCTTTCCTTTTTCTTTCCTTGAAAAATTACCTTAGGAATACAAATTCAGTATGTATAGCATAGTAAACATTTGAAAAACAGTGCTAAATACTACTTTAAAAGTAGAGAAAAACTGGAATGGCCTTTCCAGTCTTGACTTTCATGCGTGCATGTGATTATAAAGCAACTTAAACACTCAAGTGAATTCAGAAACTACAGTATATTCACAATAATTACCCTGAATGTGGTGGCATTTCTGCGTCTTGAGGTAGTGAGCATCCTATCTCCCCTGTATAATCACTTTTTAAAAGTTAATTGTATTTAACAGTATTTGATAGGTAAAGACCACAATTATTTTCTAAAAAGCTTTAAATCAATTTTTTGTTCTTTTTTTTGCCTAGACTTGAATCTACATTAGAGAACAATTTGCATTTTGTATTTTTCAATCTTTTCACTTCCTTGCCATGAATTATTTTTATCTGAAAATCCCTTGCAAGTCCATCCCCCTCTCACTTGCGTTCCTGAAGCTTCTCTTCTCGTCTTAGCACTCGGAGCGTGCCTTTGGACGCACGGAGCCACGGCAGCCCTGCTGCTGCCTCTGCTGCTGCTGCTACTGCTGCTGCTGTCGCCAGTCGCCCCGGCCCCTCTGGCGGTGACTCTGCACCACCCAAACCCGTCAGCAGTGCCCATGATACCAGGTAGTCTCCCTCCACCAGCGTCACGTGCCACCCCTCCTGTGCACTGCCCAGTGACCTGAGTTTTAGGACATGTCTCGGTGCAGCTGGGTTTCTCTCCTGGGGCGTGTGATGCCCTGTGGCCTTTTGTGGGTTGTCACAGCCCCCAAGGCTCTGGCACTACTGCCACAAGTCGGTCACTTGCCTGGTGTCAGCATTTCTTTGGAGCTATCATTAGCCAAAATGACCAGGGCCTTTGCCAGTCATAACTGTGGAGACTGTCAGAGGAAAGAACCCGGCCCACAACAGAAGGGACATGAGAGTTTGGCTGGCAGAGTCCAAGGAGCCGCAAAGTAGAAGATGACAGCTAGTTAATAACATTAGGTGGTGACTTGTTTTTTAGGAAGATCAATATTCTTACCACATTTTAAATTTTTTAATAGTTGTTGAGTAAAAATAGTTTATAAAAGTGGAAAAATTAGTTGATGGGGTTTGTATGCCATGTGGAAAATAGATCACTTGGGAGGACTGTGAGACATTTGACAAGGTCCAAAAATCTTTAAGTCTCTTGCAAGAAGTCTTTTGAATAAGTAAGGAAGGTCTTGTAGTTTTTCCCATTCTCATTATTTTTTGGCAGAGGATTTCATCAAGTTCTCATATGCTTTCTGGAGAAAGAACTTCTCTTCTCTCCTAATTTCATCCCTGGATCTGAGTAGAAGGAACACTGTCAGTATTCGCCTCCTCTAATGAGGAAGGTGACAAAGTCTGACAGAGTGATTTGGGGTGATCTGATCAAAAAGAGAAGACTGTGATGGAACCCGGTGCTCTGTGCCCCTCCCAGGAGAAAGTGTTAGTATAATAGTGGCAGGAAGATTCAGATTTTAAAATAGACCAAAATGGTTTTAGACTTACTTTATTAATAGTATAAAATTCGACAAATATTTCCCATCTTCTTACTCATTAAAATAATTAATATTTCTAATTTTTATTGATAAACATCTCAACCTAAAAAAAATCAAAATATTTTGTGGCTTAATGGTCCACTAAAAAATTAACAATATTGAACAAGTTCCCGTTTACCTTCTTCATTTCTATGCTTCAAGCACTTAATGGCACATGTTTTCACACAGGCTTCCATATCCCTGTGAGGGCTACTGGGACCATCTTTTCATACCTGCAGTACAGACTCGGGAGGTGCTTTGGCCCCAAACACATATTCACAGTTGAGGAGGACATCACCATACTGTGGCTCCTGGCTACCACACAGCTGTGTCCACAGTCACACACAAGGTTGTTCAGAACTGGACTGTGGGCAGTGGCCTCCTGCTTTTTAAAGACCGATGAACTGTGATTTAAGGCACTTAAAAGTTGGTGGCATGGCTCACTAGGTGTATTTTAGTCTCAGAGTTGAACACTGCAATTGGCCCTTTCACGCAGTTGAGTCTTATGCTTTGCATAAGCAGCTTTTCAGCATTTCCTCTTAAGTGCTTGTGAATAACATTTCATAAGTATTTCTCTTTCGTTTGTACATACTTGGATGATTCTTGATGTTTAGAAATTTTAATAGCATCATGGTCTGCTACCTTGAAGGCCATTTTTCACTCAAGATCCCAGTTTTCTTTACCTTTTGGCCGTGTGTATGTGATGGCAGGTGGAGAAGAGCATGGCCATGTGCAGAGATGCTAGGGCAGTTGTCAGCCTCCGGGCCTCAGCACCTTCGTGGTGAGCCTGTGTAGTGGGCCTGTGAGTCACGGTGGGTTCAGTTCCCTGCTCCTAAGGCCGACTTTGCACACCCAAAGACCTGCCTCAACACAGCTGGGGGTGTGTGAATGTGCCACAGGAAGGCAGAATGACACCGGGACTTCCAGTGTCAGCGGGGATGCCACAGTCTACATGTGCATCCCTTGCCTGTCCTAGAGATGCATTAACCAAAATTCAATTTCACTTGGCCCCAGAGGATTCATTAAGTATTTTAAACTGATTTTATCTGAGCTAGAAAAGATCTATTCTGGACTTAAATGCTTATAAAAACATTTTTGCAGTGATGTGCTTGCTGGAGCTTGCTTCCACTGACTCACAAGAGCTGATTGTTAATTTTTGAGGAATTTTGCAAGCTGGTTGTTACACCATGGAAATTGACAAACTCTACAACCACTGCTCCCCTCCCAACCCACAGCTGGTTGTTAAACACTCACTGATACACCACTTCATAAGTGTGTGTTCTTGCCTTTTATTCTTGCAAAAATTTCTGAAAGACATGGAATTGGCTAATTTCACTTGTGGGAAATCAGGAAAATAGAGGTGCTAAGTGACTTCATCAGTGTCTTGCCCTCTTCGGCACTGCTTTAGGAGTACAGTGTTTCTTTACTTCAGCACCAGTGGCTTTTCCATCAAAGAGTGCTGATGTGTTAATGAACTACACGGCAGTAGAAATGTCCCCCTCACTTCAGACTTACCAAGTACTATCCCAGATTTGAGGGTTTAGGGAAATGCAAAAATATATGCAAATGTCTATGCAATAGGCCATGTTGCTATCCACCTATTCACTGTATAATAAAAAAGAGCATAAATGCTACCATACTTCATTATTATTCATTTTAAAATACAAACTTACTTTTTAATAAACTAATGTCATATTTATCTTGGGTTCTTTGATGACTTGAACTACAGTTTTAACACTTCCCTAATTTAATTTTAGCTTTTACTCTTTATGGATTCCTTCTGGTTGCTGAACATTTAACTGTAGTCTGGAAAAGCAGCTAATTAACTTTGTTATTTCATATGTGAAGCTTACTGCTCTTGTGTACTTCTGCTTGGCTACTGCTTGAGATATCTTTATCTTTTGGTGTTTCCCTTCATTTTCTTCATAATCTTTTGGACTATGTAATGATTTTAGTACTTTAAATAGAATTAAATACATAAATATAATTTGATAGTAACTTGAAATATGAGCCAGATTGGGCTAATACATTAAAGTTCATCCTGGGCTTAAATTGTGGAGCTTTGCACACATCAGTGATCCTTAAATAGTGTTCTGCTTTGTTTCTGTTTTGATGTGAATATCACGCAGGGTGTTTTGAGGCAGGTGCCCTGGGTCTTGCATGTGGGCTGTGGTGAGATGGGAAGAAAGCTCTCCCTGCCAGAGTAGGCTCTCAGTGGCAGCACTGTCCCCTTGGGTAGGGGGGAGGGGTTGTTCTGTGCATCGTCTTCTGCCCACTAGATGCCAGCAGCACCCTACCAGTCATGACTATCAAGTATCTCCAGACATTGCCAGTGTCCCTGGGAGGCAAAGTCATCCCCAGTTAGAATCACTGCTCTGGAAGAATCTCACAGATCTTCCATTTTGAGTTCCATTAAATTGACAGCCCAATTGTTAAAAATGTTCAAACAGGGGTTCCAGCGTCCCTGAAAATGATCGATTGGCTTCCATAGCTGCTGAACTGCAGTTTAGGTCCCTGAGTCGTCACTCGAGCCCCACGGAGGAGCGAGACGGTGAGTGTTTTAAGGCATCAGCTGCATTTACAACCAGCCTAATCGGTGCCTCAGTTTGTCAGTTTCCATTGTTAATATCTTTACCAGGATTCCTTTGTGATTCCTTTATTCCTTTCCAAGGGAATGAAGAGGGGGAAGCCACAGGGTTTTGTGAGAAGACTTAATGCTGACATGTTGGGATTTTATTACAGATGCCTTTTTAGCTGTATTTGCATTTATGAGTCTACTTTTGTTGCTTCTAAAAAAATTATTCTTTCTGGTATTTTAACTGTTGACTATGTTTATTCACTTTACAAATACAAAAGTGACACTATTGTGAATCGTATGTGGAAGTTTTTTTATAAAGCAGCCCTGGGACCCTTTGCTCAGGAATCGTGTCTCTGCTCCCACTGGAGCAGGACTGGGCTCCTGATGCTCACCTCCTGGATGGAGTCCCTTAGGAGCCCAGTGTCCTGTTGTCTGTTCTGTTGTCTGTTGCTTGTGGAAAGTTTAATGCAGTTAAAATTCTGTAACCACATGAGCAGCTTCTTTGTTTGGTGCAATTAGAATTAGTTGTAGAGAGAGTTATCTTACCCACATCAAGCATACTAAAAAGAAACCACCAGAAAGAGTAGGTTGATGGAATCACTGCCATTCATGTCAGTCTTGCTCTCAAATTAGCATATTTGTTTCACAAATTTTAACTTATATAAAAAACACTTTTCTACAGAACCGGCATATCCAAGAGGGGACTCAAGTGGGTCAGCACGAAGAAGCTGGGAACTTCGCACACTTATCAGCCAGACTAAAGGTGAGAGAAAGAATTTAGAAGTGAAAGTTTGCTTTAGTTTCTGAGTTAGACCATCTCCATTACTGCTTTGTGATCTCGTTTGTACCTCTGACATCCCTTTCTATCATGTACTACTTCATATGCCCATTTTCTGTTTGTTATAACAAACTACAAGCTCTTTTGGATCAAGAATATGTTTTGCTCAACTTCATATTTTTAAAGCAGTTTAGCATAATTCTTTGTACATGTTAAGACTAATACATACTTGTGAAATAATCGTTTTTTTATGCCGAGGAGGTGAGGGAAATGAGTTATCTAACAAAGTAGGTGATCAATCACTATTAATCAAAACAATAAATAGTAGAAAAATCACTGGTCTAGCACCTTATGATCCACAACATGCATTTATGTATTTTTGTCAACAATCTTGAGCAATAGGCAAAGTAGGTCTTGCTCTCTTTTCATAAATGACAAAATAGTTTCTAAGGGGCCAAATGATTTAGCCTAGGTAGTCAGAAACAGAGGTGGAACCGAAAGACACTTCTGCCTCTGTGTCCAGTGCTCTCCCCACTGGAGAAACCCCTTGGGAATACGTGTGGCTGATCAGAAAAGTATTTGCTCCCAAGGCTCAGAGCTGTCTGGAAGGATTTCATGGAGGTAGGGGGCTGAGTCCTGCAGGGGAAGACTGGTCTGCAGTGAGCTAAGAGGAGAGTTGTAAGGAGACACGCCTGGAGGTTGTGACTCCAGAGTGAACCAACTGGGCTGGACAGACTGGTGTGGCTGTAGATGTGAGATCAGTGGAGTAGGGGGAGGCCAGATGGGCCAGCTAAATAATTAAGGCTTTGCAGAGGTGGTAGGCAGCCCTGAAGACTCCACAGCAGCTGGCGTGTTTGAGGAGTGGGAGGCAGGGAATAAATAAGACACTGAGATAGATTAACCTGCTAGTGAGGTTGGGAGGAAATGGGGAGTCAGTTAGAATACTTTTGCTGAACATCAGTGTAAATAATAAAATACTAAACTAAGGTGGGATTTAAAAGAGAATGGCACCAAGAAGCAGCTTTGTGCTACAGCCTACTTGGTGACAAGCCTGAGGACAGATTAGGTTTGTGTCATGCATTCTGGTGGGGAAGATTGCCAAGGCTTAAGCCTGACAACAGGAAGATAGTTTCACCAGTGGCTCACAGTAACCCAGCAGTTTCCAGGACACCAGGTCTTTACTCTGCTTTGTGTCAAGTGAACTTGGGAACTACTTAGAATTGTGTTCCTCTTGGGAGAGTTAGAGTTCATCTGGCATATTAAAGACCGAGAAATCTTGAGAAATTGTTATTGTTTAAAAAAGGGTTTTTATCAGAAATATTTGACAGCAGAGTCCATGTCCTCACAGCTGTTAAAATCTTGCCTAGTGCTGGGTAGACCTGCTGTGTTGCATATTGAGGTAAAGAAAATAAACAGGGTCCATAGTAAGAAACTGTGACCAGAGCATTATACATGACTAGGAATTTCTCTTCTCACGTTAACCTTACAGTCATCCTGGTTTTTAAGAATTTCTTCATCCTCCGGAAACTCAGGCTCTCAGATGGCTAATTAGCACATAGTATAAGAAGTGCTGTTGTAGAGATGTGTATGAACCATTGGTTTCCACATTATGGGTCATGACCCATAGTGGGTTGTAACATTTTAGTGAAAGTGACTAGCATTTTTTTAAAAAGGATAAAATGGAGTCAGAATCGCATATAGTAAAGGTAATGTTTCACTGAACTGTCATTTTAGATGTTATATTCATGAAAGGTATTTCCTACTGTAAATCATGATAAAGTAAGTTAGAGAGATAGAGATACAGAGCCTGTTGGGAAAATGAGGACTATAATAATGATAGCTGTTGTTTATTGAGTACTTCTGTGTTCCACTAAATGCTTTACATGTTTGACTTCATTAAATCCTCACAATAGCTCCGTGAATTAGGTATTACTACCTTCATTTTACAGATTAGGTATTTAATCTATAAAGAAGTCAATTAACTTGCCCATTGTTACACACCTAGAAAATGGTAAGGGCAGGATTTTATCCAGGATTCTGATTCTAGAGCCCTTACTCCGTACTCTTCCCAAAGGAAGGAAAACTCCTTGCCCTCCTCTTCAGAGATAGCTTCCTGGAAGAGGTGTGGCATTACAGCGGAGCTGTGTAAAATTTACTCACCAGGCACTGCAGTATGAAGAAGATATTTTATATAGGCAGAGGGAAAAGTGTAAACAGAGTCATGGAAGTGAAAAACAGTTTGATGAGTCCCATGAGAGTCTTTCAGTTTGGCTAGTCTGAAGCCCCAGAAAAGACAAACTGGTCCAAATTCTGCAGGACCTTGAGTCCCATATAAAGTGGTTTGTGTTTTTGGTTAGTAGATAGTGGAGAATTGTGAAATAAATTTATGTAGGAAAGTAACATGATAGTAGCATATGTTTTAATGATTGGCCAAACTAAAGAGTGCATTGGAAAGAGGAGAAGCTGGAGGCAGGTAGGTTACTGCAATAGTCTAGCCAACATGCTTGGAAAAAGAAAGTCATTTTGTCTGACTAGCTTACATTTTATGTGTGTATTTTATAATGGGTGGTATATGCTGGAATTAATAAATTTTGAAGGAGTTTAATTCACCTGCTGTTTATCTAAATAGATAATAAGCTTTGCTATAATGGAGCACTAATGTATAATGCTCTATTTTTATTGTTATTTGTTGGAAATTGACTTGATAAGGGTGATTGGGACTAATAAGTTTTTGGTTCTCTCTGCAGATAGTGCTTCTAAACAAGGACCCATAGAAGCTATCCAGAAGTCAGTTCGATTGTTTGAGGAAAAGAGGTATCGAGAAATGAGGAGAAAGAATATCATTGGTCAAGTTTGTGATACGCCTAAATCCTATGATAATGTCATGCATGTTGGTCTGAGGAAGGTGACCTTCAAGTGGCAAAGAGGAAACAAAATTGGTAAGGAAACTAAAAAACATGACGTGAAGATAGTCTGTTAGAAATACCAATTATGGCTGGATGCAGTGGCTCAGCCTGTAATCCCAGCACTTTGGGAGGCTGAGGAGAGAGGATTGCCTGAGCCTAGGGGTTTGAAACTAGCTGGGCGTGGTGGTATGCGTCTGTAGTTTCAGCTCCTTGGAAGGCTGAGGCCGAAGAATCGCCTAAGCCCAGCAGGTCGAGACTGTGGTGGCTGTGAGCATGCATGCCCCTGCACACCAGCCTGGGCAACAGAGTGAGACTCCGACATAAAAAAAAAAGTCAATCATTGTACTTCTTCAGGTTAAATCCTGTGCTACTGTCCGTTTTTCTTATGGACATGGCAAATTTGCATCATATTGTTTTGTAGAGTGACCAGGGGCTTTTTGTTGTTATTGCTTAATTTGTAAAATGTAGTCTAAGAGCTATACAAAATGTTATTTTAGAAAGAGATTTTTAAATTGTTCATTAAATTGGATTGTTTTGCTTAATAACTTTAGAAATTGCCAGTGGAGAAGTACCAACATTTTACCCATTTGTTCTAGTCTATATTTTTTTAAATCTTATTCCCAAAAGAGCATTATTTGAAGAGAGACCGGATAAAAATAAGAACAAGACCATCTTCTTTTCTGAAACATTGCCTAATTAATTCACTTCCAGGAGAAACTGCTTCTTACAAAATAATAGTGGTAAATTGTGTGAGGGAAGAAGCCTGATGGTGTTTCAGACCTTCCCCATTTAAGTGCATGTATTCATCAAGCACTGAGGTCTGACAGGCAAACACAGTTATACTGTAGGACTCTGTGAGCCTCGAGAAGTTTGAAGCTTCCTTAAGAGCTATCAAATGAGGCAGAAAACACTGAAAACAATCAAGTACTCGCTAAATTGTACTGTCATTTTCAGTCTTGTTGAGCTACGTACCCTCTTGGTTTAATGTCCCAGAAGGTCTGGTTGGAGAATATCTGCTTCCACACCCCCCTGGTCATGCGCCATGAGGGTAGATGGCGGTCAGGTTCACTCCTAGCTGCTGTCTTCTACTCTGAGCCCCAGCCTAGACCTCCTTGAGGGGCATGAGGGCTCAGAAGTATGCACCAGTACTGCTTATTGGTCATTTCACACCTCTCCTGGGATTAGCCAAAGTAGGTCTACTCTATGTGAAGATATTTACAGATGAGACATTTTGAAGAGATTGCCTAAGATTTCAGTTATTAGGAAACATGCAGAAAAAGTTGAGGTCTTGCAATAATAAACTATAGTAAACATAATTGTACATATATAAATATGCATGCAGAATAATTGACAATATTACTGCAAAATTAACTTAGAGCAACCTACCTGCAGCAACTAGAAGTACATCCTATCTGTGTTGTTCACAGGAGAAGGCCAGTATGGGAAGGTCTATACCTGCATCAGTGTCGATACTGGGGAGCTGATGGCTATGAAGGAGGTGAGTCCCCTGGCTCCCTGGGGGCCTTGGGGCTTGACAACTCTGGGTGGTGGAAATACGGTAAAGCGCTGGTGGTTATTCAGCTCTTCATGCTTAGAGCTGTCTTAAGCATCATCATTGAGACAGGACCAGCCAGGCAGATGCACCGAGCTGACATTTTATGAACAGTGAAGTTGTTTACGATTCCTGTGAGGGTGATAAGTCACAAATAATCTAAACATACACAGGTGTAAGGAATGTCACGCTGGAGGAGACAGAACTAAAGTTAGGTGAAGACTTAGAGGAGGGTAATGACAGTAGCATCTCAGAGGAGGGATTTTAGGCGGAGAAGATGACATTGTGGTAAGTTTCAGAAATGAGTAGTATTGAAACAGCTGGAGGTAGAACCGGAAAGGGCAGGGACCCCTGAGGAAACAAGACTTGCCTGGTGTGCCTTGGGAGGGAGTGGAGTAGCCAAGGCAGGAGGTGTCCTGTGCTCTGTCCTGTGGCCTGGATGCTGCTTCCCTACCTGGTGCTCTTCCCCTCCAGAACAGCTGCAGCGCTCTTCCTCTTCCCTGCCTGCTACTTACCTGAACTTCTATAGAAGTCTTTGTTCCAGCTTGGATTAAACTTTCTTTTTTTTCCTTATTTATTATTATTTTAATGAACAAACCATAATTGTATATTTATGTAGGTCACAATATGATGTATCAATATATGTATACAATATGGAATGATTAAGTTGAGCTACTTAACATATTCATCACCTCACCATTTTTTGTGGTGAGACATTTAGAGTTTACTCTCTTAGCAATTTTGAAATACATATGTTATTAATTAGTTGCCTTTCTCATAATGTGGATGAACCTGGAGGACATTGTGTTAAGTGAAATAAGCCAGAAACACCATGTGGTCTCACTTATATGTGGAAGCAAAAAAAAGTTGTCGACTTCCTAAGGGGAGAGTCACAGCTGATCTTTTCATCTTACCCAGAGCCTGAACGCTACAATTGCTTGCTGAATGGTCAGTGTCCTTGGTAATTCATTTGCAGTTGTGACAATGACCCCATTAGCAGTCATCTCACCAAATATTCAGAAGCAAGCATGTTTGATTCACAAGGAACAGCAAAGGGCAGAGGATCCAGAAGTAAAGTCACAGGCACACTGACCATAGCCCTGTGGGTCTGGACATGAAACTGTCAGGAGGCAGCTTCACTACTGCCACTATTCAGGGCGGTCATGTTTCTAGTTTGGGACTATACCAGCAGTGATCCCACTTTTCCTTTTACAGATTCGATTTCAGCCTAATGACCATAAGACTATCAAGGAAACTGCAGATGAACTGAAAATATTTGAAGGCATCAAGCACCCCAATCTGGTTCGGTATTTTGGTGTGGAGCTCCATAGAGTAAGCTGACCTTAATGACTCTGCTTTGTGTGAGGATCAGTGAGGGTACAGATGGAGTCCTGTCTACATCACAGGTCTTCTCATTTCAGAGCACAGTAACTTTGCCTAATTCTCAGGAAATCTCCATGAGTTACATCATTTCTGCCTTCTCTCTGAAACTAGAGGAGTTCTTCCTAAAATGTAAGTTGTAGACTGTAGTCATTAACCCGACATCATAAAGCACTGAAACCCATCCTGCCCGCCAGAAGATTCTTCTAAAATGCCCCTTGCACCGCTTCTTGTGACTTTTTTTCCAATTTTTGCCGAACCGCTGTTGAGTACACTGCTAAATAATATTGATTTTTTTCTTTTGTATGTATTTAAGGAACCATTGTGAAATGAGAGAATATCAAGATGTCAAATTCATTTCCCACTTGTGTTTAGAAATAAGCACTTTGAGGGAAAGAGGATAACGGGAGCATCTTGGTGTAGAACACGAGCTTCCGGGGAAGCTGGAGATGGGTCATTTTCAGCATTTTCACAAATCAATTTATATTTGAAAAGGATGTGTTTCAGTACTTAATCATGTATCTGTAGGGACAGCCTTGTTGGTCCCTGTCTGAGATTATATAGCAAACTTAATTTCGGAGGATTGTAGGAATCTGTCCCTGTGATTTGGAGGAAATGTTCTTTTCCCGAAGAGAGCTGTATAATTCCAGACAGGGGAGGCAGGCAGATTTCTAGCACAGAAGAGTTAGGAACGACGGTCATGAGACACACTCAGTACTCAGGATGGCGAGTGTAGTGGACCATTAGAAGGATTCCTTTGGGGCATGGCCTGTGACGTTTCCAGATTTGTCACTTAGTGTACATGCAAGGAAAGCCACAAACACAGAGCTGTGTTCTCTTTCTCCCACAGGAAGAAATGTACATCTTCATGGAGTACTGTGACGAGGGCACGTTAGAGGAGGTGTCGCGGCTGGGGCTGCAGGAGCATGTTATCAGGCTGTACTCGAAACAGATCACCATCGCCATCAACGTCCTCCATGAGCATGGCATAGTTCACCGTGACATTAAAGGTAATCCCCACTCACCTGGTGCCTGAGCCAATGGCATCCAATACCCAAAGATGCTTGTTCCACACCCATGTGGTGGTTCTGTGGGTAGAAAACCTTTACTTGACATATACTTCTACAAGGAATCTGTATTAAGAAGCAAGGTCAGAGCCGTGTCTCCCTGCAGTAGAGCAGTCTGCTCTGCCTTTCTGTTGGGCACTGCTGTCAGGAAACCTGTGTCCCAGCATGAAGCTGCTGTGTTCATAGGCTGATGTGGCATGGCCAGTGTACTTAACTAGGTATCTGAGAGCACAGCTGCCCATGTCAGGGTCCTATATATTTACATATGAACACCATGAATATGTAAAGTGTCAGAAATGCCTGCATAAGCCATAACATAAGGCTGTGTTTTTGAGACAAGAATAGGGTTTGATTACACAAACCTCCAAACTGGAGTTCTGTTAAAGGTTAATTTGGTCATGCTGATGGATGGAAAGTGCTTTTCTCATCCGGCATGAGGGGAAAGCTGTGCTTCTGTCTTAGAGCTGACCCTGTGGCATCTGCCTTCACCACACCATGCCCCTGACCTTTGTACTTGAAAGTCTTGGGATAATCAAAGCAGGGAAATACTTTTGTCTAATTGGCCTGAGACTGAAGCATTCCATTCTGTCCTGTAGTCTGAAGTTAACCTAAACACATTCACTTAAGAATTGACCTGACTTCAGACCAGGGACCAGACCGTCTGGGAAACTATTCTGGATTATGTAGAGTCTGCTTTGTTCTGGATGTGAGACTTGCCCATGCTTCGTAACGTGGTTCCCCCTGAAACACCCGCCACATACCAGTCTTGCTGGCATCATGCCTGCCCACCATGTGGCTTTGCTGTCTGGGGTCATTCTGGGCGTTTGCTTAATTGGCTCTTTATCAGGCTGTAGCATTGCCCATTTCCAGTCCTTCTGCCACAGACACTACACTCAGCCTCTGCCCACTATCACAAAATGGTATCTTCATGTATATTCCATGGCATGGAGAGAACCCCAGCATCCTTGAGTGAGTCTACTCACTGGTATCCTTAACAAGTGATTCAGCGTGGCTGAGAGGTTGTAGATGTAGAACAGTTACCACCACATGGGGACTGTCAGCACTGGGTTATGAGTATTAACTGTTAGACTTCACCTCATCGAAGGCTTGCTTATCTGACTCGTGTGGCTCTGTGATGTTGCTTTTTGAAGGAGGTATGTAGGACACGATGCCAGAGATGTGTCACCTAGTTGGAGTGATAATACCTTGTAGCCTAGAGCAAAAGACCAGGCTGCTCTGGGAGATGAGCAGTAACCCCAGAGTCCAACTAGAATACAAGTTAGGTGTATCTGTTGCTTGTAGAAATACTTGAAAGTTACAGAACTTTGTTTTCTGTCACAGTCTAAAATAAATCTCAGGGTGGCCTCAGCTTTGACGCTGAGGAGCTGTAGCACACATGCCAGGTCTTGTGTACGTGCCACTTCTGTTACAGAGGCTGCTAATTGCACACATCTCTGATTGTCAGGGCCTGTGCCACCAGCATTTGTGTTCTGTGTGCAGTTTCTCTTTAGTTGTCTCTGTGGGCTTTTCATGTTAGAACTTATACATGTATTTCAGTTCAGCATGTATTGGTCAGAGCCATCTGCCCTGATGTTAAAATTCCATTGCTTTGTATTGGAATAAGGTGTACAAATCTTATTGTGCTTTGTAAGTAAGACCTCATAAAGCTTTATGTTACTTGGTTTGTGAATGAAGTTTCTGGTAGCTTAGATTGTCATGTAACCTTTAAAATGCTCACTTCATGTATCAGAGAATTTTTAACAACTGCTTATTTCTTATTAGGTGCCAATATTTTCCTTACCTCTTCTGGACTCATCAAACTGGGAGATTTTGGATGTTCAGTAAAGCTTAAAAACAATGCCCAGACCATGCCTGGTGAAGTGAATAGCACACTGGGGACAGCAGGTAGGAACAGTGTGGCCAGTCTCTGCACTCTGACTTACTGAAGTATGCATGGGGCCTGGGCTTTCCTTCACCTATCCTTGTAAATGGAGATTGGAGTGTGAGTCAGGGTTGCTGATGGTAAAAAGGACTACTCCCTCACAGTGTAGACTTCCCCTGAGAACATTGTCAGATTGGGAAATTAAATTACACCTTTGAAGTTAAAGGAGGAAGTAACACCTCTTTTTCTTACCAGGAAAATCCTTTTGTTGTTTGCATTGATTTTATTAAAACTATTCTAATCAAAACAACACTGTGGCTAAATGGTTATTATTTGTTTTGATTATTTAGTGTCATAAGATTTTCCCTCCTTTGCAGGTTAAATTTCCTATTTTCATTGCGAATATAATTTATTTGAAAACCTGCACTTTCAAAAATTATCTTTTAAAAGATAATTCAGGTCCTAAAATGTCCATTCAACAAGTTGATTTGAAATATCTACTTGTAAGTTTTTGATAATTCCTATTACATAACTCGGGGAAAGAATATTATATATATCAATTTGTAGCTTGGCTCTATTAACATTCGGTACTGTGTTTGCAACCTGTCACTAACACTGTTTCTGGACTTTTCAGCATACATGGCACCCGAAGTCATCACTCGTGCCAAAGGAGAAGGCCACGGGCGTGCGGCTGACGTCTGGAGTCTGGGCTGTGTTGTCATAGAGATGGTGACTGGCAAGGTAAACAGAGCCTGCACTGGCAGGGTGACTTCAGGAGGGCACAGGACGTTGATAGAATAGTAACTGTGGTTTGATTGTTCATTATAAAGACTGTGGACACAGTTCCTGCTAAATAGAGAACCTGATTAGAGATAAAAATATGACCTGTCACAAGATACAATGAGATGAAGACAAATGATAAATTGAGAAACAAATATTGAAAAGGTATATGGCTTAGAGAACTCTTAAGAGTAAATGGACAGAAGCATAAACCTCAAGAAGAAACAAGCAGTTACAAAAAGAAACATGACTTGGAAACTTAATGTCTACACAAAACCTGCACATGCATGCTTACAGCAGCTTTATCCATAAACAGCAGAACTTGGAAGCAACCAACACATTCTTCAGCAGATAAATGGATAAACAAACTATGTCATAGCCACACAAGGGTGTAGAGCCACAGAAAGACATGGAGGAATCTAGGCTGCAAATGATGATGCTGAAAGTCTACATGACATTCCGGAGGGACAGTGAGATCAGTGGTGGCCAGGTGTTGTGGGGAGGGAGAAACGAATAAGTGGAGCACCGGAGTTTTTAGGGCAGTGAAACTACCTGGTAGGATACAGTGATGGCGGACAATATCCATATACATTGTCTAAACCCATAGACCGTGCCACACAAGAGTATGAACTGTGGACTTCAGTTAACAATTGTGTGTCAACATTGGCTCATCAGTTGTAAAAAATAGACCACACTAATATAGGTTGTAGATAATAAACTGAGGGGTAGGGAAGAGATGGAGGGTCTGTGAGAACTGTCTGTACCTTCCAGTTAACTTTTCTGTAACCCCCAATCTTGCTCCAAAAACTTAAGTCTAGTAATAAAAAAAAAGATGACACCCTCGTTAACTAGAATTATACATTTAAAAGTGAAATTTTTTTTACTTGAGCATATGAGTAGCATTTTAAAAGACTGATAATACTTGCTATTAGAGTGTAAGGAAACAGACATATTGTGGGCAAAAATTCAAAGTTTATAGGTAAAAACTGCTCTGGAGAACAGCTCCAATCTCTAGCAAAGTTTTAAGTGTACATAGCCCTTAAACCAAGAAATTTCTGCTTCTGAAATTTATCTTATGATGGTAATACTAATTAGCAGTTTTACAAATGTATAAAGATATACACAGTGTATGCCTGTGTAGCGTCTTCTATACAGGAAAAAGGTAGAAATCTTAGTTTCCTACTGTATTATTAGTAGGAAATTAAATTATTATACTATTGTACCTTGCAGCTGCTGAAAAAGGTCACACATAATAAGTGCTCAGTGAGTATTAGCTAATGTTATTTCTATTCACATTAAAATAGAAAGGTGGCCATAATGTCTATGTTACTTCAGCCAAGCCACATATAAGAGAAAAAACAAGTTCTCATGTGGCAGAATACATGTTGACAATAACCAAATAACGGTACACAAATCAGGATGTTCACAAACTTAGTCCTTTCCCTGTGAGTCTCATTTTTCATATGATCTTAATGCAATCATCTAAGCTTTGCATTAATGAAATTTTCAATTTTTGAGCAAGGTAGCATATTAAATGGAATAGATAGGCAAGCTGGCCACCTGTTTTTTATAGGTAAAGTTTTCTTGGAACAGCCACACCCATTTATTTATATATTGTCATGCTACAACGAGAGAATTGAATTGTTGTGACAAATACCATCTGGCCTTCAAACCTCAAATAGTAACTGTTTGGCTGTTTCAGTAAAAGTCTGCTGACCTCTGATATATATTAACTTGGAGATGACTGAAAAGAGACTAGGCAATTGCATTTGTTATGGCCATGTAATACTAAACCCAACTTCTTTCTGTCTTTTTAGAGGCCTTGGCATGAGTATGAACACAACTTCCAGATTATGTATAAAGTGGGAATGGGGCATAAGCCCCCCATCCCCGAGAGATTAAGCCCTGAAGGGAAGGATTTCCTTTCTCACTGTCTCGAGAGTGACCCAAAGATGAGGTGGACAGCCAGCCAGCTCCTCGACCATTCGTTTGTCAAGGTTTGGCAGATTGCTGGATAGTCTTTGTCATGTTTAAATATTTGCCTCTGGCCCTTAAGGAAATTTGGAAACTTAAACATAGAGCACCTATATCTGAAACAGAAAGGTACTAAATGTATTATTATGCTAGGGATTTTTGAATTTTTTTTTTTTTCATTTGGAAAATATTCATCAGGGTTCAAGTTGGTCTGTTTTGATGGTACATTTGAGATGCACTGGAGACAGCTAAATGGAATCTTAAATGGACCTGGATGAAAGACAGTTTCCACTCTTGAGAGTGGTGTAGTCTACTCTGAGAGTAGAGACAGGTTAGTGACGACTAGTCATTACATTAAGAGCAGTGATAATGTGGGGTTTTTGAGAAGAGAAATTTCATGCAGTCAGGTCATCTCAGTTACTGTTTTCTCTAGAATGAGGTGCCTTAGCTGTTGAGAGGACTTGGCCAGGCCAGGAGTTGGGGAGGGGATGGCAGACTAGGGAAGAGGCTTGGCCAGTCCAGGAGTGAGGGAGGGGACAGCAGACAAGGGAAGAATCTTGGCAAGGTGAACATGGAGGGTGAACAGTTGAGGAACTGCGGACAGGTAGGTCCTGGTGAGCATAGGGTGTGGAAAATGACGAGACGACAAGGGTGGAAAAGAAATCAGGAGCAACACAAAGAGATTTCCATTTCCTTGTAAACATCATGTGATTAACAGTGTTTGAGAAAGGTCATCTGGAGGGAAGAGACTAGTTAGGACGCTTCTGATACAGCTAAAGGGTTAGGAATGGGTAGGCAGGGTGAGCTGTCAGCCGTAGCTAGGGTTAGAGTGACCACGGCTGGCCACTGATTGGCTATGAAAGGCACGTGAGGGGAGGAGTCTGGGTGGCTCCCAGATTTCTGGTTTGTGGCACCAGGTCATAGGCGCTGTTCACCAAAGGAGGAAAGAAGCAGTGGAGTGAGGGGTAGGCCAGGGAGGTGACGGGTCTTCTTTGGTAGTTGAAGCTTGAGGTGTGTTTGGAACATGGCTTGGGGATTCAGATGGCATTTGGATATTTGGGACTGGCACTCAAGAGAGATTTGGACTAGAGCACAGATTTGGGGACAGAAGTACTGCTGGGTGGGTCCATAGAGGAGAAGGGTGAGAAGACAGCATGGCAGGGCCCTGCAAAGGCACTTCCGGTAAATGGAGGAGAGTGCAAAAGAGTGGGGTGGTGTTCTTGGTGAGAGGGATTAGGAGCAGACAGCTGGGTCAGGTGTGGAGATGTGAGAGATTTATAATTGGACCACACTTATGTCTTCGTTATCCTGTGATTGTAATATACATACTTAAAATGCTTTTGGGCCAGACGCGGTAGTCACCGCCTGTAATCGCAGCACTTTGGGAGGCCAAGGCGGAAAGATTGCTTGAGCCAGGAGTTCAAGACCAGCCTAGGCAATGTAGTGAGACCTCATCTCTTAAAAAAAAATTAGCTGGGCATGGCAATGCACACCTATAGTCCCAGCCACTTGGGAGGCTGAGGAGGAAGGATAGCCTGAGCCCAGGAGGTCAAGGTTGCAGTTAACCATGATTATGCTACTGCATTCCAGCCTAGACGACAGAGTGAGATCCCAAATCTAAGAAATAAAAATAATAAAATGCTGTCAGTATTCAATTCCCAGGTTTAACTTTAAGCAGTAACTTGGTACTGCCGCTGCATTTCTTTAGCTTTACATGTAGGTCTCATGCTGCACGCATGCACACGTGCACACATACACACGTGCATGCCTGCTTCTGCAGGGACTCAGTTCTCCCCTGCTTCCCCACAGGTTTGCACAGATGAAGAATGAAGCCTAGTGGCATATGGACTTGGAAGTTCTCGTAATCACTACTGTATGTAATATTTACATGAAGACTGTGCTGAGAAGCAGTATAAGCCTTTTTAACCTTCCGAGACTGAAGACTGCACAGGTGACAAGCGTCACTTCTCCTGCTGCTCCTGTTTGTCTGACGTGGCACAGGGCCCTCTGGAGGGCTGGTGACCACAAGGTTGAAGAAGCTGCATGTTAAGTGCCATTACTACTGTCCACAGACCATCGCCTCCGTCTCCTCCGTGTCTTGCGTGACTGAGAACCGTGACATCAGCATAGTGTTTTTGACCTTTCTAGGTTCAAAAGAAGTTGTAGTGTTATCAGGCGTCCCGGACTTTGTTTTTAATCTCCTGTTTGTCGAGTGCACTGACTGTGAAACCTTACCTTTTTGTTGTTGTTGGCAAGCTGCAGGTATGTTATGCAAAAGGCTGATTAATGAAATTTGAGGAAAAGTTTCTTTTTTCAATAAATGGTTTATTTTAGGAAAGCTCAGTTATACTGTCTTTTCATGGTTAACAGCTTTGAGCCAAGATCATACATGATACAGAGGTCTGTCATCTTCACTCATGTGTTCCTCCTCAGGAGCACAGGCACGTGTGCCCAAAGCGGGCACCAGGTTAGGCATTCTGGAAGGATTTGGGATCTCCTCACCAAAAAGCGAAGGAGATAAGTGAGACAACACTAACGATGCAAGGTAGCCCTCTTTGCTTTCTATTAGCCAGCACATTTATAACGATTGAACATTTACGCCTTGCTATCCCACTCTGGAAGCTCAGTTTATTAAACCAGGATGTATAGGTGCTAGTTCAATGTAAACACTGCTGAACGATCTCCTGATAAGAAAGTGTTGTTTCCAGAATATAAACAGTTCAGCATTAGCTTTCTAAAATAGCCCGAATTATATCATTGATGGTGTTCTTGGATTTCTTTTTGCTATTAAATGTTTTTTAAAGATTGCCCTTAAAGCTTCCTGAAATCTTTTCGGAAGATCGCTGACTCACTCCATATACACAGCTGCTCATCCTGGGTGAGTCATTTCTCCAGCAGTTTATTTTGTCACCTTCCTCCAAGGTAGCAGGTACCCTCAGCCAAGAAGTTCATGTCCAGAGGATGTTGGCATGACAGAAGGATTTACACAGCTACTAGGATTTTAAGACTTTTTTATATTGCTTTTTTGAATTATAATTTATATAATATTCAAAGGGTACAATTCAGGGATTTTGAATATAGTTATATAGTTGTACAAGCATCATCACAGCCTTTTTAGAACATTCTCATCACCCCAAAAGAAATCTTATGTCCATTTGCAGTCACTCTGAATTCTCACTCCCTGCTGTAGGTAACACTGAGTTACTTTTTGTTTCTATAGATCTGCCTATTCTGTGCATTTTATAGAAACAGAATTTTATAATGTGCTATTTTATGCATGGCTTCTTTCACTTAGCACATTTCTGAGTTTTATCCATGTTGCAGCATGTTATCAGTACTCATTCCATTATTGTTGAATACTGTTCTATTGTGTGGATATGTCACTTGTTTTATTTACCCATCTACTAGTTGATAGGTACTTGGGTTACATCCACTTTTTATTTATTATTAATAATGCTGCTTTGAACATTCTCATACAAGTCTTTGTATGGGCATATGTTGTCATTTCTCTTGGGAACAGAGCTGCTGGGTTATGTGGTACATGTATGTTGAACATATTCAGAAACTTATAAATGTTTCCAAAGTGGTGTGCCATCTTACATTCTTGCCACCTTGATGTGAGGGGCCCAGATTCTCCAGGCTTGTTACTGTCTTTCTTCTTTTTCTTTTTTGTAGAGACGAGGTCTTGCCAAGTTGCCTGGGCTGGTCTTGAACCTGCGGGCTCAGGCAGTCCACTCGCCTCGGATTCCCAAACTGTTGGGATTATAAACTGAGCCACTGAGTCCAGCCACTGTCTTTCTTCTTGATAATAACCATTCTGTTTAACGTGAAGTGGTATTTTATTGTGGTTTTGGTTTGGAACTTCCTTAGTGCTTGTTGACCATTTGCATATCCTCTTTGGTGAAATATCTATTCAGATATTTTATTCAAATAATCCTAAAATTGAGTTATTTGTCTTACTATTGAATTGTAAGAACTTTTTTTTAATGTTCTGGATATAGGTCCTTTACTGGAAATATGGTTTGTTAAGTCTAGTTTATCAACTTTTTCTTTTTTTTTCCAACTTGTTCTTTATTGCTTGTTCTCTTGCTATCATATCCAAGAAATCATTGTCTGACCCAACGTCACGAAGAAATATTTACACCTGTGTTTTTTTCTAAGAGTTTTAGCACTTACATTAGGCCTGTCATCTACTTTCAGTTGACTTTTGTATATAATATCAGATAAGGGTCCAGATTTATCCTTTGCATATGGATATTTATTTGACCCAAAATCATTTGTTGAAAAGATATTCTTTTGCCATTGAAATGTCTTGGCATCCTTGTTGAAAATCAGTTGTCCGTAAATATAAAGGTTTATTTCTGAACTTTCAGTTCTATTCAGTTATATGTCTATCATTTGCAGTGTCACACTGTCTTAATCACTATAGGTTTATAGTAAGTTTTTTAAATGAAAAGTGTGAGTCTTCCAACTTTGTTCTTTTTTTTCCCAAGATTGTTTTGGCTATTCTGGATCATTTGCATTTCCATATGAATTTTAGGATCAGGTTTTTAATTTCTACAAAACCCATAACAGCTGGGATTTTGATAGAGATTGCACTGAATCTAGATAGCAATTTTAGGGAATACTGTTACCTTAATTTTAAGTCCATCTCCATGGGATAACATGGGATCTATCTCCACTCATTTAAGTATTTAATTTCTTCAGTACTGCTTTGGAATTATTGTTATATAACTCTTGAACTTGTTTATTCCTTAGTATTTTATTCTTTTTATGCTTCTGTGAATGAAAATATTTCATTTTGATTGTTCATTGCTAGTATATATAAATATAATTGATTTTTGTATGTTGACCTTGTATCCTATGGCCTTGCTGAACTCATTTAATAGTTTTGGTAGTTGTTTTATGGACTCCATAGGATTTTTCTACATATAAAATTACGTTGTCCATGGATAAAGACAATTTCTTTTATAATATAGATGCCTTTCATTTCTTTTTCTTGCCCAATTGCACTGTCTAGATGTTCCAGTACAGTGTTGAATAGCATTCTGTGAGAGTGGACATCCTTGTCATGTTTTTTATCCTAGTTAGAAATCATTCATTCTTTCACAATTATGTATGGTGTTGGGTTTTTCCATTAATGCCCTTTCTCCATTTGAGGAAATTTCCTTCTGTTTCCTTCTGTTTCTAGTTTGTTGTGAGTTCTTATCCTGAATGACTGTTGGATTTTGTCAAATGCTTTTTCTTCATCTATTGAGATGACCATCCTTTATTCTGTTAATATAGTGTATTACATTAATCACTTTTTCAATATTAAATCAAGCCTGTATTCCTGCCATAAGTCCTAGTTGATTATTGTGGTTTTTTTTTTTTTTATGTTTTGCTGCATTCATTTGCAATATTTTGTTGAGGAGTTTTGCTTCTGTTATAGTTTGTTTCTCATCATGTGTTTGTCTGGTTTTGGCACCAGGGTAATGGGTGGTGTCTGAAGTCACTGTCTTGCAAGTCCCTCATTTCATGTTGTGATGGAAACTCCCATGACGTGCTGCTGGAGATGTCTGGCAGTTTATCCATTCCTGCAGCCTCGCAGCCTCTCACATTCCACACTCCCCTGAATTGACAGGAAGGTCACAGGCCTTCTCTGGGACAGGTCCTCTGCCACGTGTTCTGATGCTCTGCTGTCTTGTCAGGTCTCTGGCTCTCTTCTTGAGCCAGCTGTTCTCAATGGTAGAAGCATAGTTGTTTTCATGTTTCTTGGGATGATTTGTGCTTAGTCCATCAGTATCATTCCTGCTTTAGTCACTTATTGCAAACACATGTGTACCTTTAAGTGTTGTTTTTTTTTCCCAATCTCCTTGCAATTTCAGATCATCTCTCCCCCAGGTGACTGAGTCTACTGTTTACACTGCATTTTATTTACTCTTTGCTCATAACTTCCGCAATTGCTTCTTTCTATTTTAGAATCACTTTAATTGCTATAATTTTTTTTATTCTGAGCTGAAATCACATCTTCATCCTGTTGCTAATTTGTACTCTCCACACCTGGCTATTCCTGCATATATTTGAATGTTGCTGTTTCTCTTCACTCTGATGCCTTCATCTCTGCCCCCCAAGCTTTCTGTAATAGCTTCTAATGCTGAAACCATCTTGGCTGTCCCAGACCACTTCAGTTGGCCAGTGCCTTCTTAAAGAGTATGTTGGAACTGCGATTGCAGATGCTCTGACAGTAGCAGGTGTGGTAGTCTGTGCTGTAGCGCTATACTAATCATAATACAGCAAAACAGACATAGCCCCTGCCTGCATGGAGTCCCACCTCTGTCATCCTGATGGTTTGTGGGGGAGCTGGCCTAGTGAGAGAAGTGAAGGGGAGGGCTGCCTGAGAAGGAATAGTCGACCCAGGAATGCAGTCATGAAGTAGACGAGAGGTAAGAACACAAGTGCACGCATGTACAGGGGAAGGGGCAGAGGCAGAGAGAGCATGGAATAATAGCAGAGCTGGAGCTAAGGGACAGGTAGGCCCAGGTGAGGCCGGTTGGGGTAGTAGGGGTCAGCTGCTTTCCCTAAAGATAACTGGTGAGGGCGAGGCAGCAGAGACATCTGCATTTTCCCAAGCTGAAGTTTCTTGTCACTTGAATTTCACCCAATCCACTGAGCTGGGCCTTCTGGTGGTATTCACCACATGCTTTATTAGCTTCATCTTTGCTCAACCCATCAATAAAAATTTTGAAAAGATGCACATAGTATGACAGAGACAATATCCCAGGCTGACATGACAAGTCCATTCATCGACTGTTTCACAGTAAAAAGCTCCCATCCTCTCAGTCCACATATCCACCCAGTCCACACATGCTCTCAAAGACTAGTATGGTTCTGTCAGATAGCTTGCTGAAATTCGAATTCACTAGTTTTTATCATGTTTTTGAAAAGCGACATTTGGTCAGTCTGACATTCATTCTTAGGACATCTTTATGCTCTGCTAGCCATTACTGCTTTTCATAACCTACTAAAAAAAATCATCCATTAAAAAATCTCCAGAATGTTGCTGCAAAGCCACCTATAAAATTCATTCATCTTCCCTCTTAATGGGTCCATCCAGGTCTTTCCTCCAAGAACATCCCGTGAGCGGTTCACAATCATCTCATGAACCCTGGGCATGACTGACACGGGCCAAAAGGTAAGAATCACTGTTCACTTAGAGCAACACATTCCCTGCCCTTCCTGGGCATGTTGTACATGCTCCCGTGTGCAGATCTCTCTCTGATGGGCAGAGCCAGTGGAGGAGGAGCCATTCTGTCTTCCCTTGACGTTATGTTGCCTGCAGCAGGCGGGGCCAGCTGCCACCC